TTTTGCGGACAAGATGGGCGATCAGAAGGCGGAGGCTGTGAGCGACTTCGCTAAACAAAAAAGCATTCGAGAGCAGCGACAGTTTCTGCCCATTTTTGGGGTTCGATCAGCCCTGATGCGTCTGATTAAGGAACACCAGGTATGCGGCTTAAGTCAAAACCGTGTTTGATTTTCCCGTTCCTCCCTTTGTCCATGACCGTTTGCTTTCTCCATCTAGATTGTCGTGATTGTCGGTGAGACGGGAAGCGGAAAGACGACGCAGCTGACACAATATCTTCACGAGGACGGCTATACTACTTACGGCATGGTGGGTTGCACCCAACCGCGACGCGTAGCGGCCATGTCAGTCGCCCGACGCGTGGCTGATGAGATGAACGTGCCTTTGGGAGACGAAGTGGGCTACGCCATTCGTTTTGAGGACTGCACAAATTCCAAGACACTGATTAAGTATATGACCGATGGTATACTTCTGCGTGAATCGCTGCGTGAGAGCGACCTCGATCCCTACTCGGCAATCATCATGGATGAGGCGCATGAGCGCTCGCTGAACACCGATGTCCTCTTTGGTCTTCTTCGCGAGGTCTGCATTTCCTCTAGAATTTCAGGCCTGCCTCTCCTTAGTTTACATGAAGTATATTTTTGAGGACTTAAAGCCACGCACCTTTTGAGTTAGCTAATAGCATAAGTTAGTTGCCGTTCTTGCTGTCAGCAGGAAGGTCAACTGTCCTTTCCTTGATTATACATTTCGATTTAATCAGCTACTCCCATCATAGTGATTTCACAAAGTCCATCTTAGTTTTCAGTCACCAAAGTACTCACAGTAGTTGCACCTGTGGAATAAGTACCGACGTAGTCAAGGGAGACTTAGATGATCAGTTCTGGTTTCTTAGCTGTCGTCGCTCAGCGACACCAACCGCCATACTGCATCTTGGTGAATAATATTCCTGATCGCAACCGACGGGATAAGAGCCCCTGACTTGGTGTAGAGCCGTGCGCTGGGTTATCCCCATAAGTTCGGACGCATTTCAGTTATTCAAGATTTTAGCATGTTGTTATTTGTTCAAAGTTTTCATGTTATGCGTCGTTTTGTTCCTCTTGCCAAGCATTTGCAGAATTCGTTTATAATTTTCCATTTAAACTTCGATTATCTACATCCACAAGGAAATGAGGTGTTAAGCTGGCAAAAAATGAATATTTCGGACATCTTTTATTAGTTTTACAGAGGAGGGAAAAAAATTGAGGCCGTCAAAAACATTTGTGCGATTTACGGAGAAGGTTCTTTTGCTAAAAGAACAGCCCTTAATTGGTTTGCCCATTTCAAAGAAAGCGATTTCGGTACGACGGACTCCCTGCGCTCCGGGCGAAAGTTCTTCTTTCATGAGAATCGTCCCAATGCTTCGGTCCATGCAGATCGCCGTCAAACAATTCAAGAACTGACCCAAGAGATGAGGCTTGACAAATTAACAATAGCTCGGCGTCTGCGATCGATGGGGGAGATCTATAAGCTTGGTTCTTGGGTTCTGCACGCTTTGCGCGCCAGTAGCGGCCCGGAATCGCGTCACCCATTAACAGCGTAAACCACTTTTGGGGCCTATTAGTACTTGCGAAGAAAAGTGGTGCTTATAAGTTAATATGTAACAAAGGAGAGAATGGTTGGGCCCCAATAAGCGAGCAACACCTCGAAGCGAAGCCGATCCTCATCCTCGCAAGAGGATGCTGTGTCCGATGAGATATGGAGGGAGTTACTTGTTATAAATTGTCTGAAAGAAAGCATCTTATTCATGCAGAGCTTTAAAGTCAACAGCTTTGCCGTCTAGCCAAAGCAATACTACAAAAACGCCCAAATCTTCGAATTAGTGTCATTCTGCAGCATGATAGCACCCGGCCTCGATAACAATCTGACCAAAGTATCCTTCAATAACGACGCGGATCTTCAAAATTGGATCAATGACTTCTTTGAGTCAAAACCCACGATTACTACGGGCGGCGATTGGAAACGTTGGGAGGAGGTTATGGACAACGAAGGGGAATACATAATGGATTAATTATGTGACTGATACATAAAGTCTGATAAAATTTTCAATAATTGAAAAACGCACGAACTTATATATCAACCCAATAATTAGCACCACGGTGGCCATAATTGAGATCGTTGCCTCATATTTTCGAAAAAGGCTGAGGTATGGCTGGATGACGACGGATAGCGAACCAATATGGTCATCTCAGTCTCATTTGTCTTCGTCGATATTTACTCTGCATTATTACTGATTGCTGTGCGGTCGACTGAGAAAACTCTAGATTTGATTCTAAGGCACAAGTGTTAGCCATGTTGTGTACTCCAACAAAATAGGGGGACGACCCTTTCGCACAAATAATCAGAGTTTTTATCGCCATTTTCGTTTTCTGACTCCTAGTTTTTTAAATAAACCTCAGCTCAACTGGGTCTGCTGAGATTGTCTACCTAAACCTTTCTAATCCTTTCACACGCAGATCGTTAGCCGCCGTAACGACCTAAAACTGATAATTACTTCGGCCACAATGGACGCTGAAAAGTTTTCACAATTTTTCGGCGACTGTCCAACCTTCCATATACCCGGACGTACCTTTCCTGTCGATATTCAGTTCAGCAAGGCCCCCGTCATGGACTACGTAGATGCTGCTGTCAAGCAGTCAATCCAGGTGCATCTGGGTGCTCCGGAAGGTCAGTTTTCCATACAGTGCCAAGTCTCACCTTCTAGTTCTTGTTAACTTTGATGTTACAGCCTGTCCAATGAGCCATTTTTAGGTGTTCATGTCATTGGAATTTGGGGACTGTGGCCATTTGTTAAACAGTGTCATCTATTTTAAATGTCAGTTTTTACAAGTTATCTGAAGGCTATTGTGTTCCCTCTCATGGTTTTGGTGTGCCATTTGTTATTCTGTTTTACGAAATTAATCTTAAGAAGTCCTATCGCGCAAAGTTTCACCCTGATCAACACCTACAATTGAACGATTTTACTCGTTGCTACCGCCTTAGGAGTTCATGCGTCATTGTACAAGGTAACGTAATCCATTTGACCTCTACTAAAGATATTAAATCATTTAGGCGTCTCTAGTTCCTACCAGTTAACTAAGGACAACTGCAAGTATACGAAGTATGCTGGCGTTTCGAACAGGAGTCGTGCGGCAAAACACACGTTACATTGCCGTATTGCCATACCAGCACATTTTCCCACTGCAACAAGGATGATAGTAGTGATGGTTGTGGGGGAAGGGAAGGAAATGGATGGATAGGAGGAGACAGCAACGGTAGTGGCTGTGATTATTCGAAGTATAGTCACATACGCTGACTACACCTTAGTCAACTCGCGGTTTTGTAGCTGAGCTCATGATAGCAAACCCACACAAGGCAGCGTGACCGGCAACCCGCACTCCTCGGACCATGTTTCCATTCTAACCTGTCTGAAGACAGTCCTTCCCGTTGTAACTACAATATTCCGTTCTGAAGGCTTAAATGTTGTGACGCCTCCGCACTCTAACACTGGAAATCGGTCTCGCTCTGCAGACACAATTGAGTGGGGAAGCCACAGCAAGTGGTCATAACTGAAGTTATCAATCAAGGAGCAGGTTAGACCGTTCTCGAATTCACAACGCCGCCGCAATAAGAGGACCATTGCAGCCTTAAAAGTTGTTGACACGGTGAGAATTCACTCATCCAACGAATTAGTGCTTGTCCCACCCTTTTACATTGAGTGGCCATTCTCGCGACGTTGATGCTGCCTTTAACATTGAAAACTCGGTCAACAGGAATCGGTCCCTCGAGCATTTTGAGTGCTCTCTTAATTCGGTATGCAGCTCACTAAATCGTCTCAATAGTACAGCTTCGTCCATCAAGCCTATGCGGTCGCGTATGCTCATTTTCATCATCTTAGACGCGACTACATAACAACGGGGCGCCCGTATACGACGAAATCCGCGATAAAGTCAGCAAGTCTCGGGCCGATACTGGCGCCCTGGCTCCATAATATGGTGGAGCAAGCGTAGGCACAGTTGTGTCTGCCTTCAAGAGGGGAGGTAAGGCAACGCACACGAATGACCGCGGAGTAGGCCACATCACAATTATTACCATCTCCCCAGGCGGTTTTAGTATGTGCTTAAGCCAGCGACGAGGCCCAGCCAGGCCGGCTTCCCGGTTGAATTTATGTGTTGCAAGCTAATGCTCACGCCATGTCGCATTCGCAAATTCGGTCATGACTATCCTCAGCTGGCGGCTGTGTCTTATTGACGTTGCCGCAGCGTTCGATGTCGTTCATCCTGACTCCCTATAGTGGATAATGAGACAAGACAGTATAGCAAAAGTAAGAGATCCGGGTCGGTAATCTGAGGAGAATGAATTGCTCACCGGATCGGGGGACTTTTCTGGCTGACGTTTCGAAGAGCTGGGGCTGCTCTCCATTGTCACCGTGACGAAGACAAGACAATCACACGGAGCCTAAGAATGTCGAGCAAACACGGCCTGTCGACCACTTCACCCGAAAGGGGAAAGCAAACGCAACCAACCCCAAGTGAGGTGACGACACGTATTACAGGAGGCCACCAACATTCACAGGCGACGGCCAGTAGGCCGAGGCAGAGAAGGAAGAAAAAAAAATCGATCAGCCCAGGGCCAACTAATGCGGCAGTCTATTCAAAAATGCTGTTCGATTTTTTCACTTGACGCTTTGACAATGGAGAGCAGCCCCAGCTCTTCGAAACGTCAGCCAGAAAAGTCCCCCGATCCGGTGAGCAATTCATTCTCCTCACAAGACAGTATGCCAATAATCGCTCCGCTTAAAGCCGCCTAGCGCACCATCATTTTCCGAGTTTTGCTCCACGATAATCGCTCCCAACAGCCTGATTCTCGGTCTAACGTTCGATAAACTTAGACCCGTCGCCCGTCTAATTTAACCACTACACTGAAGGGTCCTGTGATATGCAAATTGCCACATAAAATGGCGTGTAGCGTTCGTCTATTTGATCAGTCCCCTTGTACTGTTGTGAATGCCTCTTCTTGGACGTTGACCACATGTGAATACTGAAGGTGGCTTACCACCGAGGACAGTCTAAGCAAATTAAACCGACTTCTAGAGTGACATCGTCTGCGCTCACTGCAATAATATCGCAGGCTATCTATGACGGCACGGAGGCAATAAATAAGGTGATTGGACGCGTTCTTCACCCGTTCTATGAATCCAGTGTTGCTGCCTCCGTTCCGACGCTGTTGTCCACCTGAAGATGTCGAAGAGGTCTAGTCGAAGTCTGGCTCAACACGTTCGGTCAGGACATGAAAGTGATTCGCCGACCTTCGGTATTTCGTGGGCGTTGATGGAGGGGAGAGCGAATAAAGCTGTTCTGGTCTACTGTCGCTGTTCGTCGCTTGTTGAAAAGTACTATCTTCAGCTTAATTTGAACTAGCTAGACTAGGCCCCTCCGCAATCCTAACCATTGCGAGTATGCAAGTCCTCACAAAGCAGTCATCGAATTTTCTCTCTTCTCATAAGTCTGGTGTGCACTGGACTACCCCGTCGGCTGAAACGCCACCGCTTTTTGTTCGGTCATCTGTACACTGGTCTGAGGAGACCTTCATGTCTTGCTCTACTAAGTTTATTTTTTATCCATAACCTGACCACATATCTTTTTGTCTTGTTTTCAACAGGCGACATTCTCATATTCATGACTGGACAAGAAGACATCGAAGTGACTTGCGAACTGATTGCAGGTGAGTCCTCTTCCGGTTTTTTTACCCAAAATATTTCAAACGTCTAGATTATACTAAAGCCAACATTATTTATATGTGCACCCTCATCATCCAGTCCCGTCACGTTAACTTTTATACAGAACGGCTCGGCAACTTGGAGGAAGCCCCACCACTTTCCGTCCTCCCAATCTACTCCCAATTGCCCAGTGACCTCCAGGCCAAAATATTTCAGAAGGCTGAAAATGGCATCCGAAAGTGTGTTGTTGCGACAAACATTGCTGAAACCTCACTTACCGGTAAGAGGAGCCTTTAGAACGTGCCATTTTAAATACCGTATATTTGTTGACTTTTGTACGGAGTGCTGTGTCCGAGGGCCCACATTGCGACTATACGGTCACATCCGGCTCATCACTGTGGTTGATGAAGGTGTGGTCCAATGAACACAATTTAGAGTAGATCTCATGTTACTGGCGGTAGGCGCAATGGCGATAATGCTTTTTATGACGTATAGAGTGTCCCCGCTGGTGTTGCCATCGGCAGCAATAGTAGTAGTAGTAGTATGCTGTTAGATGATGAAGGGTTTGGTCTTTTAGCCACTTCATTGTGTCCGCAGATGTTCAACGAAAGCGGCCCGTGCTCAGAATGTCCGTTATCAGCCTGGCGACGATGAGGCATTGGGTGTTGGCGTCATTGATCCAAAGCACTTAATCCTTGCGAGTCTATGTGCTTTCGCAGCGCCTATTCGGTTGGCTTCGAAGGTGTTGGCTCCAGTCTTGAGGGTGCTGCACCATCTTGAACGACGTCTTCCCAAGTGCCCGAGTTGATTTGCTGGTGCCTGATAGATGTTTCTTAGGTGTCCTTTTAACGACGCTTTAATCTGCCCTGCCTACCGGCATCAGTAGCGATGCCGCCAAAGAATATCGGCTTTGATAGGCGTTCATCTTCCATTCTTATGCTATGGTAACTCCATCGCAGTTGTCTGCCTCAGCATGGCGTAGATACTAAGGACGCCTTGGTCAGGCTATCGGGTGTGACACGGACAATCGAGGTCATCATTGGGGTTCACTTGAGGAGGTCGTTTGGTGGCTTTTTTGCAAATTGTCGACTGATAATTGAAGACACCCTAGAAGTGCGCGGCCAAGTGCTCCATGATCTGTGACCTCCCCGTTCGAAGTATTTATGCATCAGGGCGCAGCAGTGACACAGTCAGTAGGGAAGAGTGGCAGCCTCTGGTGTGGCACGGGGACAGGAGTAGGGGTGATTGTTGTTCCTTTTACTGTTTCAACTGCATTTTTTTGCCCACAGACCACGGTCAGCTTGTCGACGGCGTGTTTCATCAGCGATTTTTAGAGCACCTTTTCTAGTCCCTGTCCCGCGATGGGGTAATCAGTACCACTCCTAAATAAGGCTGCCTGCTCATTTCAGGCGGCTGCCGAGCTCCCCTATGGGCTGCGACTTTTGTTTAGTGGAAAAACTATCCGAGTTGGCTTGGATCGCCTACGGAATCGTATGTCGCCCTCTGAGTAGGCATCTCTTTGTGGGGGGGGGGGAGGAGGAGGGTGATTAGTCCAGGAACTTCCAGGTGGGAAGACACGCACGCGCCGAGAACTTTCATTTAGTCTAGCTTACCGATCAAGTACGGTTACCAGAGTATGGCGTTGTGCTGAGCACGGCCTTGTGGAGTCACAAATGAGACCTGGGTGTCGGGATGGGGCGAAACAAAAGTATCCGCCAAGGTCCATCGATACGTTTGGCAGGAGTCGTCAGTGTACTGTTTATCAGAGCTTGCTACCACCATGACCGTGCCCACGTTAATAGACCTAGGCGGTACGTTAAAACTGCCGACAGTGTGTCATCAGTAGGGTATCTTCGTCTGTGCAAACCTCTTCAGTGTCCGTTCACCCTCATCGACAAATCTGGAGTGACTGCACGGCTGCAGCGTGGCTCTGCACCCGCAGCACTTCGTACGCAGCTGTAATAATAAGTACAAATACACTGTACACTGCATTTTCCCACACGTGTTGGTAAACCGAGTGGATACTTCTTCTTCGCCTCGCTCTGGCACAGTTTTAATCTGCAGTTCCACGAAGTCGTGTTCAGCAAGCCGGTAATCGTGCTCTACCGGCGGGTTAAACCAGACCACGATGTCCTGTGTGTGTGTGTCTCCACACTTACGGCTGTCCCATCTCCCCAGCCTCAAACGAAAGTTTTTGCGGATTGGACGATATGTGACCCCGTATTTTCACTGCAATAATGTCGCAACCCTCAATGGAGTTCGGTACTTGCCCGGGATGCTTACGCAGCTCTATTTAGAAATGTACTGCTTACACCTTCACGGTGCAGGAATCTAAAAAATTTGACTTAATGGATCGCTGACAAAACGTTTCGTCGACAGGTTGGGCATGGCTTGGGTACACAAAATATGCAGTCGAGACAGTGTACGAAACGAAAACCATCCCTGTCCCCATCTCCGCGCCTCCTCACAGGCCTCTAGGCGGTGGTTCGTAGACATTCAGCATTCGTTCGTCCTTACTAGAGAAGAGAACGAATCAAGTTATTCCGGTTGGTTACCACTGTTCGTCGCGTGTTGAGAAGTACTATCCACGGCATCATTTGAGCTAGCTAGCTCAGGCATAATTAGAGCCGTTTGAAATACAGGCGAAGTCGTTTTCTTACCTTATTTCACTCTTGTCAAACGCATGTTTACCTGGTCCCACTGCTGCTTTTGACAACTCAGGATTGCGTATTCATGCTCATTTACTTATGTAGGCTGTCTTACCGTTTAGATCCTGTCAGCTACCAATCTCATGAAACGTTAGCCGAAATTCCGAAATGTGTCTTTGATTAGCAAGGATTACTTAAGTGGGGTTGTGATACTGATTATCGGGCTGCATAATCCCAAGATATTTCAGTCACGCCAGCATGCCGGCTTTTGAGGGCACTTATTTCCGGTCGATTGTAAGATCCGCAATCAGTAAAAGTGGCTTCTCACTGATTTTTGATGCTTTTATAAATTCAAATACATTTTGTAGAAAACATGCATCAACACCCTCTCTTGTACCCGTTTGACAACAAATCATATTTTCAAATGTTATACTCAAAGAAAGGACATTTTTCGGTTTTAAGGAGCTTGGTAGTTATGCAACCTTTTTAATTTCACGAAATACCCACTCATATAACATCGAACCCGCTCTTTTACCAATGCTCCTTATGGAGTATATGGCATAAACCACATCCGAGTGGAAACATGCCCACAACTTAAGCGTTATTTTTTACGGATAACAGTTGTACAATCGCCAAAAATGAAACGCATTCAAAAGCCAGTATGCTGGCATTACTGAAATATCTTAAAATTAGGCTACACAATGATCAATATTACAACCCTTTTTAAATAATCCCTCCTAATTAGAGTTGCGAACATTCCCATGGCAGTACTCTGAAGACCAGTTGACGAGCATACGTGTGCTTTCGATGATTTCTCATCGGGCACAAGTAAAACACTTAAGCGGCAAAAGAAATCGATTACAGTTCGTCGTTTCATACAAGTGGGGTGTGGGAACAGGAAAGGGAGGGTAGAAATAAGTCAGTGAGTTGGGAAGAAGTGAGGGTAAGGAGGATGGGGAGGGGAGGGCGCAGAAGGGTGCATGCAGTTAACCGACGTTTGGCAATGGGAGGCCATTCAAAAGCCGGTATGCTGGCATTACTGAAATATCTTAAAATTAGGCTGCACAATGATCAATATTACAATCCCATTTAAATAATCCTTCCTAATTGGAGTTGCGAACATTCCCATGGCAATACTCTAAAGGGGGAGCTTGTCTTAGATTCTTCTGTGCACACAGGTCAAAAGGTCTGAAAGCGTATGCAATGTCAGTATCAGCAAACCATTGCTCTCGCCGCCTGGTATGCGCTGGCAGTTCCTTGACACCTGGTTCTCTGCCGGTAGATGCGCCTGCGCTCCCACTGGGTATACAGTTCATGGGTATGGTTGCCCAGTCATCCTCGTCCTTCCGACCCCTTTTGGCGGTGTTGTTGGTGAAAAAGCCTGGTCAAGTATATGTTGTTTACCAGGGGGTGTGGCAGCACGCCCAAGTGCGGGTCCGGCCGCGCCAGCCACCTGCGCCCTCCCTGTCTCTGGTCTTGGCACCGAGTCCAGGTGGGGAGTGGGGAGTGCGGTAGATGCTGCGCAAGTCTACTATTACTGTAAACTAATTCACGCTCAAGTCACTGTGCCTGCTGCACCTTGCTGTGTAGCACACTGTGGACATCGTCGGAATCGACGGTCAAACTGTCGTGTGCACACATGGCCGGATTTCGTAGGCAGAATGTTATTACCGACAAAGACAACAAAACTGGAATGGCCATTTCTGGCTTATTAACCGTCGTCACCCGGTCGTACCCAACCCCGAAATGTGGAACACCTGGGGCCAGAAATAGCCAATCCAGTCTCCCTTATCTTTTTCAGTAATAAAATTCTGCCTGTATCGTGCGCCGTTGTGCGACTACTGGTTGAGCTCGAGAGAGAACCCGTAAGGCACAACGGGACGAGTGAGTTCCGTAAAAACGATCGGTGAGCGTCCCTCTACCACCGGCTTTTGTAGCCTGACGACAGTTTCCTCTGCTGTTGCTAGCAGACGCTGATCCAGCGGCCCAGGGTAGTTCGGTGGGACATTGTAAATCACGCGGGAGGCTGCGTTGGGGTCCACTTGATGCCCGGAATCGACAATGTGTGCGAGAATGGCACTGTTTATATTCTAGTTTCGCCTTTTCTCGGGGAGGTGTTCCCATATTCTTTTGAGTGGGCGACTACTTGTGCGACCAATATAACCTGCTCCACAGAAGCAAGTAAAGGAGTAAATGCACATGGGAGTGGTCTGAGCTAGCAACCTATCCTTACCTTCTTGTAAAACGGGTTTTGTCGAGAATAATACCCAAATTCTTGCCGCTGGGGAGTTTCGCGAAGCAGCCTTGTCCAGGCGTCTTCTCAGGATTTCGTTCACCGCACTCCTTTGAAAAGGGACTTCGAGGAAGATAGGTCTCTTTTCCGCCGTCATTGTGATGTGTTTTGAGGATCTTTCTGTAATATTCTTCGCGATAAATTTGTCGGGACACCCGTCCTCGCAAAACAGGTCGTGGTTCATTTAACCTCCTCGTCGATGCTGTTTTTCTATTATATTTTTCTAGCCCTTTGCGTCAAACGGACTAGATTCGTAACCAAAGATGCATTTCAGAATTTCGGTTAACCTTTCATGAGATTACTCTCTGACTGTATGCAACTTACCTTTCATACTATGGGATTGTTTATCTTCGCTTTTAACTGGACCCAGCAGCCTTGTTAAATTTTGGTATTGTTTGTTCTTTATATCGCTTTTGTCCTGTAATCGTTTTAGTCGATGGTATTCGATACGTGATTGATGCGGGCTATTGCAAGCTCAAGGTTTTCAACCCGAAGATCGGCATGGACGCTCTGCAACTTTTCCCGATCAGTCAGGCAAACGCAAACCAAAGAGCTGGCAGAGCTGGCCGTACTGGTCCCGGGTAAGTTTCCGCCTTCCCTTTCAAAATGTGGCCGTTTTTGACTGCATACTGGACCTTTCGTGTGTTTGGCCTTTTGGCTTTTAACCAACTATGATTGAATTCTGTTCTGTCCTTCACCGTTAGACCTTTTTAGGTATAACACCAGCCATTTTTTGCTTATGCATTGGTTTTTTCTTTGGCGTTTGTCCTTCATAAATTGCTCTTGGCTGACGCTTTTTAAAAATTTCACTTTGAGACCTTAAAAAATTGAACTGATTTATTTAAACTTGTCAGCGAACTTACGATTTTTCCTGTTTAGAAGAGGCCTCACGGCTTTTAAAAACTTATGTTCTGCCAAATGATAGGAGGATTAGGGAGGTTTCTCGCATCAGGGTACTTCATGGGGACGGTCTCTAGAAAAGAGTGGCCTGCTCCTCAGTTGAAGTTAAGAATAATCTCCCTCATACGCCCTCGTGTATGTTAATTCTATGAGCTACTGAAAATCCGGAGAGTGATACCGCGTTGTTGGTTATTTGAGACCTACAGATAGCGTATTTGACCATTTGCCTCCCTTTGAACCTCAAAGCATTAACAACTTAGCATTCCTGATAAGGTTACCCGATGTTTTTTTGGGATTACCGCTTAAATTGAGAGCATTACGTATGAGTGCTTGTCCTCTTTCCCTTCTAGCGTGAGTTACCGTCTCTACACCATTGGCCAGTTTGAGGAGGAGATGCTTACTTCCACTGTACCGGAAATCCAGCGCACCAATTTGGCCAACGTAGTGCTTCTTCTCAAGTCACTCGGTGTTCGAGATCTTATGCGCTTCCACTTTATGGACCCGCCTCCTCAAGTGCGTGCCGCAGATTTCGGTTATTTTGGTTTTCTTTGCGTTGAGAGGCTGTTATCGGTCCCCATAATATATTTCCATATTGTCGCTACTTATTTCGTTTAAATAGCTTAACATCATTTAATAAACCTTTTCTCGAATACCACAGGTCGCTCTTACACGTATTCATCCCTGGCTATTTCTAAACCAGTGGGCCTTCTGCCTGTCGGATTTTGCAGTCTGACGTTATAATATGCGTTTCTTCCTTCACCATGCGATTCTTGATAATTTCGATCATACCGCTGGCTTGATGTGGGCCAAAGTGGGTAGTCAGCCGTCACAGCAGGTGCTCAGTCATGATTCGACCGATTGTAGCCTGTTTTTCCCCTGCTGTAGTAAACAGCCAGAAAGAATAGTACGCAGTTTGTTTTAATTCTAATCAGACAACTAGCTTCCAGTGGGCCGGAGTGGTCATTTAAACGTCACCGTACGCTATACTATCTGGCTAATTATTACGGCTGACACTAAACTGTCTAACACTTTCGTCTTTTTATTCTAAGCCCCTGCTTGTGTGAACGTTTTTGACGCATAAAACGGTTGTTTGCGAAAACGCCCTGTACCAGAAACCAGGTTTCACACTGATTCTGCTTCCTTAGGACAACATTCTTAATTCGATGTGCCAACTCTGGGTGTTCGGCGCCCTCGACAATACCGGAAATCTCACACAGCTTGGTCGCCAAATGGTGGAGTTTCCGCTGGACCCCGCACTCTCTAAACTCCTCCTCGTTGCCTGTGAGATGGGCTGCTCGGAGGAGGCGCTCACCATTGTCTCTATGCTCTCAGTACCGAGCATATTTTTCCGTCCTAAGGGACGCGAGGAGGAAGCCGATATGGCTCGCGAGAAGTTCCAGGTACGTACGTAGACAGTATTGTTGTCACAGTTGTCCTTCCCACACCTTCTTACTGCTCTTCACATGATTTTTGGCCGCTAACCAAGACAAGTTGCTTACGGTTTTTCTGGGGGTGCGTCAGCCTACATGATTAGGGGTTGTGGTTACTGCGTGTACAGTACTTCGTCTCAAGGTCGTAGGGGCCTGCTTTCCGATCATTGCAAGGCCATTTGAGCGCAATCCAAGTACAGTCTCCCCCCCAATCTTCTGGTGGACACTACATCGCATATAAGATGACAGATTGGCGTTTGTTCACCATCATCATCGTTCCCATCGTCGTTTTTCGCCAATATTACTATTATCGCCGCCTTCGCTCTGATTTTTATTGTTTTCATATTTCACGTGCAACAGCACAGTTCTGTTGAAGGTTTGATTGGTAAACAAACGTCCATATAATCACAAAAGTTGGACGCTAGCGCAGACAGGGGACTCAAGAGCACACCGGAGGTAAAGCTTATTGTAGAATCGAAGTAGAGGGCGTACGGATGCCCTGCCCGAAGTTATCAACAACCTGGTCCTGGACTAGCTCCCCATTTTGTACAGATTGGTCAGACTTGCACGTCTACATGTCAAGAGACAATAATTATATCCCTGTCGAGATTCCGATGTCAGTACTTACTAGGTTTATTCAAAGGTTTTTTGTTTAAAATGGGCGTGTTTTGGAGCTTTTGTCATTCAGAGTCCTCAGCTATACCCTAATGTGTATTGTAAAGTTGCTGAAGTATCTAGGCAAACCGTCTCCTAAGTCACACCGTCCGGTCAGCACATGGGCCAGGTTTCCGCGAATAGAGATGCCCGGCCCCCTATAGATGGCAGTGCTACAAAGGCTTCATCAAGGAATTATTGTAGTCCAATTCTCGTTTGGAAGCAGGAAAATGTATCCAGTACGCTAACGGCTGTTAGCGCATCGTGCTAGTTCAAGAGCGAATCTGCTTATTTGCAGCTAGGAGACTGAATGCTCTATCGGGGCCGAGTTGGCCTCATTTCCTTCCTCCTTTCCTATTTGCCAGTGGACTGTCCCGTTCAAGACGACTGAAAATAAGGTTTGGCGCAGTGGCTGATATGAAGTGGAGTCGTCGTCTATCGCCTGCCACACACGAACTCAAACCCAGTATATGTGCAAAATGCCATAGAAGTTTCGTTTGGGAGGAGTTACTTCAATCTGACTCCTCATTCCAAAAAATAACCAGCTTACCTTCTCAGTTGGCAAGATTCTAAGCCAGAACTTTTAGGTCGTTGTGCAGACTTTTAAGGCATCGTTTTCATTGCAGTAAAAAGCCGGCTGAATGGCCACGAGAAGGGGTACCTCAGTATCTCCCTCCTTCGCATCTATCAGGGATATTTTCGAACCCCTTTGGCCGACTGATGATGAGGTAGGACTCGGTGGCTGACGTGACGTGAAAACCTCCATCCACGTATGCCACGCACACCCTGGTCTCGCGCTCCTTTTATATGTCTCATATGTAAGAAATGCACATGGTCGCCGACAGTGTTTCACCGTCATTACGATTCCGGTCATTTGCATCGTATGACTGTTGCACGTGACGTCTTGTTGGCCGTTGAATCGTACGCACCTACGACCCAATAGGCCCATATAATGTCGATGCGCGTGTGAAGAGTGTGGCGGTGTGAAAAAATTCAGACCGAGTTATTGTACCAACCAGTGTCATGTATGTGCAGATGAGCGATGAGTGTGACGCCCGCGGGCGTCGGAACTGTGTGGGTCAGGCATATCAGACAAAATTAGTGTTCACCGGTTTTCCTGACAGCAGCTCTTCTATCACGTTGTAATGCGTTCGCAGGCGGTCTATCAGGCCTTTGCGTGATTAGGATATGCGATCACGACAGCAATACGTTTGCACTGTATCCAAATTGTTGGTGGTCGTCCCCTGTGTCCTAGAGGCGTTCTTGTTGGCTCAGTTTCCTCGTCTGACTTTGCCACGCAACCCATCTCTCTCCTTCTCTCTGCTCCTTAGCGGGCGTAGTCAGGATGGTGACTCATTACATCCTAAGTTTCGTGCCGCAGCCACTGCATGCTAAGCGTTACAGTCTGCCGAAGACCTCGCTGTTTTCGGTTATCTGGACGGAAATTTCTCCATATGGTAATTCTCACGTAAGCAAATTTGTCCACAGATGTGCTCTTTGTATTCGGTATGCTGGCGCTGACTGGCACCTGACCGGTCCCACTCCTCACAGGAAAGTTACGCAAGTGGTTACGTTTATTCGCTAACCGTGGTTCTTCCGGCTCCCAACTGGACCTAGCCTTGTCATTCGCAGAGTCATTTCCGATAGTAATGGTTATGCATTGATGCAATGTTTTATTATTTTTTCATCTCCTCCAGGTTCCCGAATCAGATCATCTTACCTATCTGAATGTTTTCATCCGTTGGAGAAAGGCAGGGTGAGTTTCTTCACTTTACCGCATAAAAGTTTGAGTGTGTGTTGTTGGTTAGCTTCGCATGGAATACTAGTACACTGCATGCTACTTTGAGAGAGTACTGGTTTAGATGCCCTAAAGTGTAGTCAGCTAGCGTTTGAGGATTTTTGATATCTGAAACACACATCACCAGGTTTCGTAGTCGCATAGTCTGTTTACTCCCAATCAACCTCGTTCATTTTGTAGGAAAAATTAGTCCACCTAATGAACTCCATCTATTTTTAGCAGCCCCAGTATTAAATTAATTCAAAGAGCCCCCTTATTGTAAATCGAGTTTCCAACAAACAACAAAATTAACGTATTCGATAATTACATTTTACATCAAAGAAAATTGTTCACGATAAGGGACAAAATCCACAAAATTGGTGTCTGCATTACCTTCTTCTGCCACCCCAATCTTGGCTGAGTCCGCGTCGCAGAGCAGAATAAGACCTTTTTACTGCAACGGAGGTAGTTAACTGAGCAAAGTATGTAAGACGAAAACATTTAACTTCGCCTGATAAACGTTGGGCCTTATGACTAACTCATCCCAGAATTAAAATCTCAAGGCACCTCTGCAGAGGTGCGTTAGGTTGGCGGGCTGAAAACGATAAGTGACCAAAAATGGCCATTGGAACCCCCGTTCTCCTGTGTTGGGTGTGCTTTTAGTAGTGATTCGTGTCTGGAAAAAAATTATCCAAAGTAAATAGACGCTAAATGGCCATTTCTGGCTCATTCGTCGTTGGTGCTGTCTTGCGATTTTTATTTGCATGTTGCTATGTGACAGTGTGTCAGGACTTTCGGCCCGATCTACAGGGTAAAATGGATTAGAGTCGTTTTGTCCCCGGATCGTGCATGATTGGCAAACGCCATCCTTTCGTGTTTTCGTTACTAATGTGCACACCTCATCCCCCCCCCCATCCCTCTTGAACGCACCAACTCGTTGGTATTTTAATGGCATCAGTTGCTCCCCATCTCTCCCTCTAGCTACGCTCCCTCCTTCTGCACCCGCAACTTCATCCACGTGAAGGCGATGCGCAAGGTCCGTGAGGTGCGCCAGCAACTCAAGGAGATCATGGAGCAGCACGACATGACGCTCTGCTCCAGTGGCACGGACTGGGACGTGGTGCGCCGCTGTCTGTGCTCAGCCTTCTTCCACCAGGCAGCACGCATAAAGGTGCGCTTTGTGTAGACTCAATTACTTCGTTCTTAAAAGAAAAACCTTCGGAAATACCTGTTTACTTCACATCGTTCAGTTAAGTTCCCAACGTATTAGTCACTAGGGTGTAGATTTCTCAGAACTGCACTTATTTTACTTCCTTCCGGCCGTCCCATGAAGGCGTCAGTCAGAAATGTCTCCAAGACTGATCCCACAGCCACCTCTTCACCTAAAGATCACATGCTTATGCATTTGCGCATGTTTGCTAAGGAAGTAATTTGCGGTCCGTACCCAACCGAATAGGTCACTTTTAAATCACCTTTACGACCACTTCTTTCTGGCGTGTTTATAAGCAAGTTCCTAGTCCCCTGGAGCATACACAGACGGTCATTCCAGACTTCCATGCACGCTTGTCCCTGCCAAACAAGATAGATCCTTCGTTTGACCTGAAATCTTTCCCACTCATATCAAATCTTCTGCCCATGTTATTTGTCCTCCGATCTCCCTTCAGCCTGGCAACTTCTCCCTGTATGGATCGCTCTGCCCTTTTACGTGCATTACTCCACGCCCTTTCTAAAATAGCATTGTTAGCCTTTCATCAAGTTCGCGAACTGTATCTCCTCACCGTCACCAACTTCAATGACAAGATTTGCGCGATCGTAGTTCGAACTAAAAACGGCGCTGTTCACTTTTAAATACTAAGAGCGGTCGGTCGCCAAGTTACGTAACAACACAAGATGCATCGTTACATGAGCAGCTAGCAGAGGACCTGTGCCTCACAAGTTCCGGACTGCAGCCCTTGTGTACGCACTCTGTCCTCATTTGCTGTTGTCTCAGAGAAAGGGACCGGTCGTAAATCCAAAACTTCATGTAACAAAGAGGGAGTTCAGAGGTTCAGCACCTACGTTTCCCTCCAACAAACTGAACTGAAATAAAATCCTTGTTGCAGCTGTCGACTTCTTCTCAGTAAAGAGCAACCTTCGTTACTTGAAAGTTTCCTGTTGGTAAGGAATTTTCTGCCCACATTTTTGTGATAATGTACGTTCGTCTTTATAGGCACAGTGGATCATTATAAATATGCGCATAATCTCAGTGGATAGTTTATTCTGAATGAATGTTGTATGCGACAGCCAAACTATATAAGGGGAGCTCGGTATGCCACCATCTGTGGATTAATAAAAGAATATGTTGGCAATCCCGCCTAAATCTTCCTTTTTCCATATAAAATAACGCTCGCTGACTTTATATCGTCTGCTACTCACCAACTTTTCATTTGTCCAGGGTTTTGACTTGGTCACCTTCAGCATGATTGCCCTTTCTCTTTCGTGCTCGTGCATAGGAGTACGAGTTATGCTAGATCCGCTCCTGCCTTGCTGAGTTTGTCTTTCAACTTTTTGTGTTGTGATAATGGAAATGATTACATTAAGCGCCAATAGTTGGGTGCTCTTGTGTCTTGTATTTTTGCCGGTCTGCGCATTACTTTTGAGCGTTCATTGGCTGCGTTTAAAGATGATAATCGCTTTCTTCAACATAACTATGTCCCAAATTCGTCATTATTATCATGCCTTTCTTCTGTTCAATTCGCATTACTCTCTTCTGTTCGCCACTTTTCTAGGGTCTCGCCGAATATGTGAATCTGAGGACGGGAATGCCCTGTCGACTGCACCCTACAAGCGCACTCTACGGGATGGCCTACACGCCTGACTATATCATTTATCACGAACTGGTGATGACTACAAAGGAGTACATGCAGTGTGTTACGGCCGTAGAGGGGACTTGGCTTGCAGAATACGGCGCTGTCTTCTACAGGTACGTCTACTTCCCCTGACTGTGCGTGTGCGTTTATGCCAGACCTGCCGTGCCAGCCACCTCCGTCCTCCCTCACCTCCGGTCTTTTTGACTCTGTCTCGACACCGGGTCCAGGCGGGGAGTGGGGAAGGGGTAGTGCGTAGATACTGCACAAGTCTGCAATCGCTATAAACTAATTCACGCGCAAGCCACCGTGCCTGCTGCATTTTGCTGTGGAGCACACGGTGGACATCGGCGGAATCGACGGTCGAACTGTCATGTCTGGCCTGGTGCCTCTAGCTCCCCCCAACATGAAGATGCTCAAAACTAGTTATTTTACTGACACTGGATGAAGTTTGTAATTCTCTTGCAGACCCAGAAAGTGTCAAACATCTAGTCGGTTTATTTAAACTTCTGTTTTCTTCATAAATGTACTGCTATCACGGCAGTAATTTCCACCGTTGTTAGAGCTCGTACCAACTGGTAAAGAGTTTCGTCCACGGTCTCTTTCGCATGCCACCAGGTGTGCTTTCCGCGATACCTGCGACTGTGCTATGTTAACTGTCTTTTTTCACATCTTTCATCGTCCCTTTGATGGTAACGTGGAGAAAACACAATGCTATCTTTATTCCTTTTATGTTAGCGGGATAGGTTTTGGTGTTTGCAACAGGCTCCTTATTTATGATGCACAGTCTGCCCAGTTAATGACGCACTAAACTCAGATCATGATAGTATTAATTAAAAATCTACCTTGGCAGGACATGGAGCTAGAAATTTCCCTCGTAATATGGGTAGCCCTCGCTAAATTACAGGAGGGGTATCTGCATGCCCCAACCGTGTGCTTACCTGTAGCCTTCCCATCCCTGAGATTTACCGCTAGGCCGTCTGTATTATACAGGGAGATTCATATTCTCGTGCCCTACCTCTATCCCTGCCGGGAGGGGGAGGAATTCCCAGGCGATCAGAATCGCCATTGACATCGAGAACGGTTCCATTGCGAATTTAAGTGGCCTAATGGTTCTTTTGACCCTCACAAGTTCTCATATGATCAGGGTAACCAAGTCAAAAGTGGCGTTTGGAAAATATAGCTTTTAAAGGTCTGAGAGAGCTGCACAGTAATGGGACTGCCTCGCAGTACACCTCATTTGATCTTGTCAAGGGCTGCTGACCCGCCCCAATTGGTATTCACCCTTCGTCAAGAGTGCACTCTTTCGCCTGAGTTTGTTTGCTCGAGAGGAACGCACTGCTTATTACGACTTTCTATTGGAAAACGAGACTTTAGTCTTCTCATCGTGACCGATGCCCATATGTAAGCCCGTTCCACGCCCTCTATTTGCGGTTTTCGACCATTCTGAGGTCTCGTACTGCTTACTGACAAGTTATTGTTGTTTTTTGCACTTGTCATTAGTATAAATTGTTTGCCGTTAGTATTTTCTCGGTTGTCATTTCTTATCGGTGTTGCCTACACTGTCGCGATGAGGTCTATAGACTTTGCAGCTGTTGTGCCAACCTTGGTTTCATTCTTTCACACTCGGCTGGCTGCCTTTAGAGTATCTTGAGCTCCTTCGCATCCTCAGTGACGTAGGTGTTCGCAGTGAATTGCTTCCGATTGTGATTCAGTTCTTGCGTTTCGCGTGATCATCTGTTCGGCGAAGTTTGCCTCAAGTCTGACTGAACCCGTGTTGTCATTTCAACGTACGAATTGTGGGAAATTTGTCCTCCACCCAAGCCATTAAACGTTGTGCTTACGATGAAAACGAGACATTTGCAAAGTAGGTAATGTGACTTTGTATTTCGTCCGTTTTTGTAATGCGTTGGATGTAATTCGAAGTGACCACACTTTTTAAGAGTATCATGTTAAAATTAACTTGTTACTCAGGCGGAATTTTCCAAACAAACTCACCCGATTGGCAGAATTTTCTTGGCATCTTTTTTGATGCCCGATTTCCATTTTCTTTTCTATAGCATGGTTTTCGGGTAAAAGGCTGGTGGACTTGTTGTAGATTGTGTAATTAAATCTGACCCCGTAACGGTTATCAGACGTTATTAGTCATGGGGCCGCTCCCTTGAACTGATATTGTCACTGCAAATTTTTTTATCCGCCTCGGGTTCCTGATTCACACTCGAATCCACCATCAGAGACCGCATCGCCTAAAGTCCATATTTACACAGTGCTGCTATATCTATAGTATACAGCTGCTATGCCGCTGCATAGCTATCACAATCAGCCGCCTCCGCATTCATCGCAGATGGTTGAACATGATGTGGTAATTGGTTGATTGTCCTTAGGTGAGTCGTTAATTGTCGCGTGGCCATGTCTCAATCATTTTGGCTCACCGACGCCGACATTGGAAACAGTCAATACTTGCGCGCTCACCACCAACTGTACCAACTATGGAGGGGAGAAGTCACTGCGGATGGGAGAACCATGACTCAGGCAGTTCGCGTCCCATGTGGTTGTCGCCTCTTGCGAGGATCATATAAATACTGCAACACATGTACTAGCGTCAGCGTCCTCTGATGCTGTTTTGGTGGTGGATCCGAGTGTGAGTCACCCGGATAAGACTCTTGTTCCAGCGACTGTGCCTTCTTATCCTTTCTCCTCCTCTTTCTTCTTCCCAACTACGTCTCGGAACCCGTATGTTCGCGTGTGTCGACAAATTTTTTGGCACTTTTGTCTGTTGTCTTCTTAATTAAACTTACCGCGCCATTCATGTTCATACCATCCGATGAGCACCATATGTATTGTCGAAGACCCTGACATATCAAAGCTCATCGGGCCAGCCTGGTTCATGTCTATTTCGTTGTATTTTTGTAACAGCATAAAGGACCAAAACCTCAGTCGGTCAGAACGCCAACGCCGCGCTGATGCTGAGGTTGCGGAAATGGAGGAGGAAATGAAGGAAGCAGAGGTACAGTTGGCAAGGCGTAAGGAGGAAGTTGAGCGCTCCATGAGTACCGGCCGCCTGTGAGTCCTATTTCCTTAATAAGACAAGTTTTTCATGCATGAGTGTGCTGCCGAGGTCAGTTAACGTTTTCATAGTTCGTAGGGGTTATTGTTTTCCTACAACCTCCGGCTGCTTCGTTAACATACATCTCTTTTAATTTGGCCTATGCGAACTCCTGTCAAACTTTGATGGTGTTAAATCCTACCTATTTTCTATTCACAAACGCCTACTGTGCGGTATTGACGATGTATTTGGCTGTCTGTGAAGTCACTACATTTTCCCGTTTTTAACCTTTCTTAGGCATCCAATCGCAACCCCGGGCATGCGAAAACCTGGAACACCGGCTGTGTCCAAACGCCCAAGGGGTCATCTTGGCTTATAAAGATTCCCACTTCCTATCTGTGTACAATAAGTCAGACCATTCTTGTACTGTACATACACTGCTCTGCAATGTTCAATAAATATCGTCTTTTCATTTGCAAACCTTTTCTTTCTTTTGATCCTCCCTTGTCCTAAGCCCGCTTTTGTATTAGCGGGCTATATTCCCCCCCCCCTGCCGATGCATGTGCAATTGGGAAAGCGCGTAATTTAAGTGTACCTTTCGTATGCGCCTTCCTTTTAACACTGACGTAGGTGCCGGCTTATTGGAGGCAATTTCAGGGGTTTCGTAACCCTTTCCTCCACATCAATGACTGTCCATAAGTATTTTTGATAATACGAGGAAGCGCGGAGTGACCGTTCTTGAGCACTTTCGTTGTCAGCGGCCACACCTCACGACCACACGGTCCCCCGTTGCCTTTTTGGCAATACTCCTCAGCTATCCTCCACTGTGCGATCACATGCTGGAGCTCTAGATCCAAGGCAAAGTATTCTGTCCTTCAGTTAGATCAGGTTTGTGGACGTCCCACTTCACGTGGCGGTAGTACGGACATTTATGACTTGGTTTACTCCACGGTGTATTTGTGCAGCCTTCGGGGTTGAACTTTTTGCCGTCTCTGAAGCATTTCTTATTTCTCCGCCTCCATAAACACGTACATGCGTCGGTGCCTTAGTGCCCCATGGAATCCAGATATTACTCATCCTGTTTCACCCACTGTGCTCCACATATTATTCACATTTTTTGACTTATTTGAGATCAGTACATGTTCGGTTCACAAACAAGCCGCATAAAACCTGGGCATGTCCACTAGCCTGCGTGTTGGCCCTTTCTCTAGTGGTGAGTAGTGTGGAGTCGTCGAGTATGAAATTTGTAGTGCGACACATGGTCAACTTTAACAGCTCCGTTTTTCAGGTTGGTGTCCTCCTTGGACATTCTTTTGTTTTTTTAGAAAGCTGCCATGCATTTTTATTCTTAGTCATTTTGTGGTTTAAAAATATTAAAAATCTTTCGTTATTATTCCTGTTTAAAGAGGGCAACTCGGAAATCGGCACAATTGTGAAGTCTGAGTCCTTATGTGAAAATAAAGCCTCACAGACGGCTTGGAATACTAAGAGCGTATTTTGCTCTAATATTACCGCACATCAGACAGTATCAAGTTGCTTTACGAAATTTCGTTCTGGTAACTTTCACCTCACGAAGGAGCCACACGGCCAGCCAGACGTCATGTCTTTTCTAGGCAGTCAGAACTTGCGTCCTAGCAATTTTGGCCTCAAGAATGAGCCACGCGGTCGGCCAGCACAAAAGGTGGAAAATGACGAACTGAGCGCTATTGATCCATCTCAAAGTGCTCATGAATTACCGCTGATTTTTGGTGTCAGCAAGTAAACAATTTTAGCTCCCCTAGTTGATTGTTTAAAGTAAAGAAGTTGGATTTGTGTTTCCCACATGAACTGGATGAGAATCTAAATGTTTGGAAGCGTGCATGATGTTGCCTTCCTCTCACAAAAATGATTACCATGAGCCGAATTGTAACGCGTGGTGAGAAGTGAGTTCAGTAAGATTGCCGCGAACGTTTAGTATAGTGATCGGACAGATACAAACCACCAAAGCACAGCTTAGAGCGCAATATCCCATAAAGGGAGCTGGTTGCGAGTGATTGCTGCTCTGGCGCGGGTGTGATCCATTATGATTTCATGAAAGCTGGCTCATCGATCACGGCAGAAGTATGCTGCAACCGGCTAGGCAAAATGATACAACAACTTGCAGAAAAACAGCTTGCATTCGTCAACCGATCGATTCGTATTCTGTTGCACGACAGTGCCAGACTACACAACGCACCAATGACAGTAGCAAGACTGCAGGGGTGGGAGTTGGAAGTACCCTATCATCCACCATAAGCGCCAGATCTTGCCCCACCGACTACCATTTCTTCCGGAATTCGGATAACCTTTTCAATAGAAAAAAATTAATTCCGACTCTCGATTACCCGCCCTCTGCACCACCGTAAGCTACCGCTTACGTAGGATAGTGTATCGCCAATATGGTAGAATACCTTGATGAATGAAGCTATTCCTTGTATTTATGAGGCATTACCAAACTTTGTTTTTTTTTCTTTCTACAAATTTCATATTTTACGACCCAATATAACAACCTACGGTGGGGGCGAATTGAAAAATAAACTAGCTCGTTGATCTGACCGGTATGCAGTCATGGATTGACATTGAATGTGTTATCGTGACTGGGCGGGTTGGAGTTCCATAATAGCCATCGGGTTGGTTATCGCACCCTCTGAGGTCACTGTTATTCTAAGATAGTAAACCTACATTTCGCACCGTCTTATGTGCCGTGTACCGTGAGACCTGACTGAGGGCTTCTGCGGTTTTCCGTGCCACGAAGGTCGAGTCATGCTATGGCACCCGCAGAGGTCGATATGTCTGTACCTCCGCTACTGTCTGGAGTGTTATCTACTAAGTCAGCTTCCGTAGACCAGAAAAATACGCATCACTTAGCAGAGTTAAAGTATCCCTCTTACGTCAGATGCCCAAAGCCGGAAATGAACATGAGCGCAGTCCACTTTTACCCTCTCGTTTCGGATGTACACTTGCTAGGCCACGCCTGAAGTCTGATTTGGATATCCGACTTTGTCAGTAAAGTCAGCTCAACCTGATGTTTCAGTCGCTCTGAATTCTGAGGTCAACACTTGTGTGCCGTAGTGCAAGGGCGTACGTGTGCGTGTTTTGAGTGTTTTTTGTCGACGTCGCGATGTAGGCATCGACAATGTGTGGAGAGTCTTCAGTAGAGGCCACAGGCAGTGGATAGGCGACGGTGTTTAAATGTCGTGCCGAGAATATGTGCTGTGTTCTCTAGAGGCCTCTTCGGTGAATGATATGAACTTGTTACTCTGACAGTGCTGAACAACCTAGTCACAACAGCGTACCTCCTTCATCCCGAGTGAAATCTCATCTGCTGAGACCGCAAGAAAGGAATGTGCGGAAAGACAACTTGGCTAGCTACTCCTACCACCCTTGACTCTCACCTCATGTTTCATATTGGCGCGGACAGTGAGGATAGCTCCAAGTATGTTTTTGAGGCCTCTCAGACCAGAAGTCGTCTCAGCGTACAGCGCTTGCTAAGTAAGGACTAACTGATTGAAAGGCATGACGCTCTGGTTGAATCTGTCGAGTAAAGGATCCCGAAATAGGCAGACGGCTGTGCTTAACTTCGTCTCTAACTCTGTTAACGGGCAGATTCTGAATGCATGTGGCTAGAACAGCTTGTTTTCCTACTACACTACGTGACCGGATACATGACTTGGCTCATTTCAAGACGGAGTCAGCATACTTGTCATGGGAATTAGATGCGATCGGTAAAACAAGACATGCATTTGTCTGGCGTTTCGGATTCTCACCTTGGCCTCATCAGAGGCAGTCGCAGGTAAGGAGCGATGGGCGCACAAGAGGCGCAATATTTACGGGATGCAGTTGCCATATCATAACATACCTACTATAATTAGCAGCTCCCACATTCTTCGCGGGTGATCCTGAGGAGCGGGATGCCTTCTTGATCCGAGTCGATAATTGTCGTAATTTCACTACTAGTGTTGTGTGCATAAATCCAGTTGCAGCTGCCTAACTACCCTTCCAGCATGCCATGCTGAGAAAGTCCGGAGCTGCAGCGCTGTATCCTTATCGTGATTAAGTTGACTGGGGTGTATTTAAGATAAATGTAGGTAATTCCGGCGTTTCGGAGCATGTTTACTGGTTGCCGTTCTTCCAATTGAGAGTAGCACTTGCATGCTTCAAAAAGCTGACCATTGGTAAGGGAAAAAATGAGGTGCTTTCGTCAATAGTCAGACCTCGTTTATGAAGTCTTAATCTATAAGTGAAGAGGAAAGGTGGTCGACAACAGAAACATTCTGTTTATTTTTCTGATCTTTCGAACTCGTGCTGGAGTCCATCGTCAGCGATATTAGCAACAACAGAACAAGCGACGGCTATCAGGCATGCTAGCCAGTCATCGAGCAGTGGTGCAATACTGGAGGTTACCGCGCAGGGCTCTGTACGCCGGCACCAGATCGGCAAATCGATTGACTGCGTTCTCATCCGAGGCCGAGGCTTCAATCAATTCTCGGCCTGTTTTGTTTCCAGCGTGGGTGACTATTTTGGTGACTGTGAAGTTAAAATTGTGACCTATTTCGTAGGTGTGGACGGCCACTTGTGATAATGCGTCGACTCGTCGCACAGCCAGCTTGTTAGTGTATGCGCTATCCGAGCATGCGCCAGTCTGTCCTGTGTGGTTAGAAGGACAATTTTGACACGGAATGCGATACACTACTCCAAATTGCTCCCCAGGCTTTAACCGGTTTTTAATTTTCATGACCCTATTGCGCATGGTGGCTTTGGGGCTGTGTGCAGTTCCAACACCTAGCTCGGCATCGATGCGCTCGGTAACGTGATCCGGCTGTTTTCATGGGGACCACGTTCTTTCCTCCACGCCTTTGCTCATGCAGAAATTTCTTCGATAACGCATCACACCCAGGCGGACTACATGGGTTGGAAAAAGCCTGTCCTCCGCAAACGGCCAGACCAGGTGGTTAATCTGGCCTTTCCCTAGTGATCCATAGTTCTTTAATTCTTTCACTCATTGAAGTCTGTTTTTCTTTTTTTCGACCGACTCCCCCACTGTATCATCAACAGAACAGTGCGCCGCCCTGTGTGCTGTTTTTATATCGATTTTCTGAGCAAATCTAAACTGCCTTATATCTACTAGACCTTATTCGATCAGCTAAATACCACGAAACAACTGAAACGTATTCACGACATCTGTTATAACCAAGAATTCTTGTCGCACATGGCTAGTTCCAAACATGGCAGGAAAACAAGATAAGAACTGCGACGTAGAAACGAGCGACTGTGCAAAGTGAACTGCTCCCAATCATCGGAATTAAGCCGGAGTAATTGCAGGCTCAAGTTTTTCGCACAAGTCTGACTTATCCCTCTGTAGCTAGGCTGTCTCGAAACGGACAGTGCGCGATTCAGAACTCGAAAGGTTTATTATCTGTTAGCAGAGGGTCTGCCTTCTAACACGTACTTTCTAATAGGAGAGCTGGGAATTCTATTTCCAGTCGTAAAAGCCATTGAGGGAAGGCACTACATTGATTGGGCTACCTGTTGTCTTTTGCGTTCACCCGACATACTTGCATCTACAACTACGCATGAATCCATAAACACCATTTAGCGTGGTAAGCACAATCATGACATCTTTCTTTGCTTTAGTTGGTACGGTCCTAGTTGGGCCGATAGTCATGAGCTGAGCTTCTTCACAGGTCCTTTAAATGGTGCAACGTAACTTCTGCCTGATCGTGCTTGAGCCCATTATCCCTCTTAAAGGACAATTATATTTCAATGGTCTTTTTGGATCTGACTGCTCCGTCAATTTTTTCTGCAGGCAATTACTAAAGTTGTGAATTAAAGGCACCGCATAATCATGTTTAACCAGGGTTACTTTGACGCTGGCAGATTGCTAATCCAGTGCTTCAGTCTAGCAACTTTCCCCTGCTTTCTCAAACAACGTGCGACAGAGTGTGGCATTCCATTTACCAGCACTGGACTTTTGAAATGCCGGTACCGGGCCTTTCACGTAATCCCACAGAATGCTAGACTTTTGGTTTATCCACCTGTCTGCCTATGCATGCGGACGTGCAGGAAAGGCAGGCTGTTGTCCTATCTCCTCCTCATCGTGAACCACTTAGATTCCGACAAGAATTGAATTTAGCGGACTACCCGTTTCAACTCCTTCAGCCTATCTGTAGAGACGTCCGTTAAGATGAGAGTGTGCCTTTTTGGCCTTAAGTTCCAACAGATTCTGCAGTACTTCGGGTTACAGATGCAAGGTGTTGATAATATTTATCAATTAGATGTATTTACTTGCCCGCGTAACTTTATCCGCCCTTCACTCAAATCTACCTGTTCCTGTAGACTTTCTCCCTTCTCCTTCGTTTACGTGACAACCGCACCGACTTTATTCTCTAGCCATTTCCTTCTCCGATTCTCAATTGATGGATGGCCAAAATGAGAACTTGGTCATTTACAAGGACGAAAACGAATTCGAAGAATTTAACCGAGAGGGTGAGTATTTGCGCTGTATTCTCTGCGATCGGTTTCTGAAGTCCATGGCTGATGTCAGTGACATTCCTCTTTATCACTGACGTTGTCACACAAATGCTGGTAACAGACTAAAGTGGCACTGAAGTGGTGATAATAAAGTATCTTCGGACTTCTTTGTTAAAACATATTTGACAAAGATAGCGGCTGGAGAATTTGTTCATCTATGCAAGATCAGCTGCAAACAACCATTGACAGTTAGTGTTTTGACTTACAGCTTTGCAAAATCACTTGCTTCTTTTTGGCGAAGTGCCTTTACTGTCGTTCACTGGTTCAACTAGTGCGAACCGTCTTAACAAGCTGTTGAAGAAACCGCAAAATCAACTATTTGAAAGGCAGTGAAGCCTCTGTACGTAAGAAATATGTTACTGAAAATAAGTGTCGACGGACGCACATATGCACGACAACGAAGCACACACACTGAGCTTCAGTCTGTGTTGCGTACATGAAGCGCTTCATTCCTCTAAAGGTTACGCCCACGCGTTTATTTATAGCCACATTGGCTCCTGTGAGGTTCCTAGCTTTTAACCTTTTCCGGAAAATCCCACTCGACTTATCTGAGAGTTACCCAAATTAGGGTTTGGCTGGACATAATTGTTCGACCGTAACGACAAGTCGTTTGAAGTTGATCCAAGGTAACGGTAAAAAGTGCTGTCCCTTATTGCTAGAGTCAGTGGCACCATATCAATCCTGATCGCAAGCCGCCACTACAAGACTCGGGAAAAGCATTGACGGGTTGTTTACGGTGTGTGGTAAAGCGGTCGGGCTTTCCAGAGCACAACACAAAGGTCAAGGAACTTTAGACTGTCGTGGGCGTAATGACTGATCTGGCGCTCGCCACCATCAATGCGTTCTAGACGCCTGCTTGTCCCTCAACCCTCAGATGTCGTATGGGTACGAGTTGTCAAATGGCCACGGTCAGAACGAGTCATCATGACTTACCTCTCAGTCCAAAAACCAACTTATCGCGCCAGTTGGCATTCTATCAGGCTCCTGCTTTTAGAGTAGCGTTTTAGCTCAGAAACTCGTTAGCAATTTATCATAATAAAGGGAGATCCTGCGAGATCGACCCCAATCTCCCCTCCTCCACCCTTTCTTTCTTATAGAGAGCAGGCTCTTATTGGCATTTTTCTGCCAACAAGGCAGCTGACGCAGTAGCCGCACCTGTCTCAAGGCACCGAAGCTGGTGTTTCCACGGCATTGGACGTGAGATCGATGTATTATCCTAATCTGTCCTTCCCTTTGTCCCTTGCATCCTTAGAGTGGACGCCGAACGAAGAGGATGCCAGTGACCTGAAGGTTTGGGATGATACCTGGGACCAGGCTGATATCGAGGACAAGTTTACCGATGATCTGAGGTTGGTCTGAGTTTTTTACCACTGAACTATCCAGTTAAACTCCTTTTGACAGAGTCTTATCCTCTTGCACACACTGCCACGATTTTTGTCCGCTTTTTCACACGTTGACTTTGATTCATTTTGCGGGTAGACTCGTCTGTCAGACTGTCTAGTTGTTTACTTCTGACGTATCTTAATTGGAAGGGTTAGTGTGTGCTTTTTGCAAAATTGGGAGTGTTTTGAGTAGATACCATTTTACTAACTCAGTTATTATAAATTCAGCGGCGATGCCCATGTAAGCATTGAGAAGTCTAATTCGGCTAACGTACCGTTCTGATTGGACATCAGTAGCAAAAATTTAAACGGCAAATAGCTAGTAAGTACTGGGGAGATTGTTCAGGGCGTTCAGAGGTCAGGGGTTATAGGCTAGTCCTGTCGGGGCTTAAGGAGGGGGGAAGGTACCTGACAATTAGCGATGTAAAGTCAAGCTGGCAAACATGTATTCTCGGTAATTCATCATCAGGCTCATACAGTCACACAGAAAGTTAAAATATGAGAAGCCGACAACAATTGTAATTATCTCAGGGCTTATTAACACTCATCGTTATGTCTGTTTCGTCGGTGTAACGCGAAGTGCCAGGAGGTGTGAACACGCATGTTGTGTCCATCTTTGACCAGGGAGCCTTAGGTCCTGTTCAACCACCATTCACCTCCAGCCGTGTGGACTCGGCCCCAACCCGTCCTAACTGCTATCGTACATTCAACTCACGCATCGGCCTGACCGGTCACTTGCGAATCCATCGCACAGAGACTGGCGAACGGGTGCCTGGAGCACCAACATACACTCGCCGCATTTGCCCCCATCGTCTACGCTGTCCACGCACATTCATTCATCACACGGACCTATTCAGCCACATGCGTATCCACGACATCGGAATTCACAGCAGTACCGACACACCTGGCACATCTCACACATCCCCCATCCCCAGCCCAATCAACTCCTCACCATTCAATGCGCCCATCATTAGCACCACCGCCACCATCGAGACCGATTGTACAGCGCCCGACTTATCCTGCCCACGTTGTCACTACACATTCACCTCACCCATCGGCCTAGTCGGTCACTTGCAAATCCATCGCACAGGAACCGGCGAACCAATGCCTGGAGCACCAACATACACTAGACGCCATTGCATAAACTGCCTGAATCGCTCCTGTACATTAACTCAACTCATGAGGCTATTAGGCCACATGTATCTCCATGAAATCCTGCGTTAGCACACCGCCGGCGTCACCATACCGTCACATCTCTCCCCACAAGCACCTACACGGCACATTACCACATCCAGCATCACACAACTCAATCACTTTATTGGCTCGTCTCTCCTAAATTGGAAGTGTGTTCGTCGGCTCCTCTGCTGCATTTGTAATCCGAGCCTGTGACTATCGCAGCACGCTAAGGGTTGTAGCTTGGAAGGCTGGCAACCGACGGCATAACTAAGACCTCGCAGTCAACCCAGTGTGTTTGTGTGGAATGCTCGACTGGTGGACTGAACCAGGCTGCAGTGGCCCCTTCTTCACGGGACCTCTGGCGCTCGCACGCATGTGAACTGTATGCCACCCATCTCTTTTGCGCGAAATCCTGATTCTTGTGTTTAAGGGGTCAGGTTGTGTATGTGGCACGCGCAGACGGGGTCAATAACTATGCCAGCCACTGTGTCCATTCCTCGCACCAAACAACTGACAGCTCGGACAGCAGCTTGGGCCTGGGAATGGGAATAGAAAGCGAGGTCGAAGACTCAGCGCATTTTCCTCATTATAAGCAATCCGACGTGCTTGAGGCTATCATGGTGCGCTAGAAGCAGTGGCTTGGAAGGTTGCTCCTTGACGGTATGACTCAGACCTCGCGGTCAACCCAGTGTTTGTGTGTGTATGTGGATTTGCGGACTGGTAGTCAGAGAGTCAGGCTGCAATGGCTCCTTCTTAATGCGGCCTCTAGGGTTGTCCCACTCAGCGGGGTCCAAGCAGACTCTCACCTCCGTTTGTTGTATGAAATCCTGGTCAGTGTGCTTTGAGGACCAAGGGTGTTGTGGTACGCCTGTGTGCGGGTTTACGCCGTCCCAGACACCTGCGTCCTCTCCCACCTTCGGTCTTCTGGACTCTGTCTTGACACCGGGCCCAGATGGGTGAGGAGGAGAGAGTGCGGTGCATGCATCGCAAATCTATTATCACTATAAACTAATTCACGTGCAAGTCACCGTCCCTGCTCGCACCTCGTTTGGGAGTACACGGTGGACCTCGTTGAAACCGACGGTCGAACTCTCATATAACCCTTATGCAAGCACAAGGTTGGGTTGGCTAACAGTATGGTCACTGCCTCTGCCGTCACAAGTATCTGCTGACGCAGGAATTAGGAGTGTCTCGCCGACACTATAGGTGACTCGGGATGCTTGGTTGACGACTACACGGTGGTCACTGTCGACCAAGTGAGTCTCAATGGCGCTAGTGATAGACTTTTTCATACCTTAACTTAGTCAGACAGGACGGTGCTCTCACATCTGCCCTGATAGATGTATAATTGTTCGACTAATATAATCTGCCCTTCAGGAGCAAGTGAGGACGTAGATTCACATTAGAGAGTTGGAGTGCTGGATAAAACTAGTCTTATCTTAGTGGTTGGGTATGTGCGCACTATGGCAGCTTCTAAGCCCTGATGTAGAAGTTCGCTCTCCGGGTCACCCGAAACGGCAGTATGATAAATGTCTCCTCAGCCGTGGGCATGTCCGAATTCAAACGTATCCCGTAGGCTATGTGATGCTACCTTGTGCCGGATCGGCTTAAGCCTTTCTGACACAGCTGTCTGCATAGAAGCCATGAGCTCTTGGCTGCTCCAGGATCCATAAAGGGTAGATGTTTGTCCGACTGCAGCTGTTCACTTACGCTTGTTCTTAGACTCCTAATTTACACCCCGTCGCGTACGCGCGCCTTTTGATTGGCCGACTTGCCTAGATACTTCCACTCCTGTACTACGCATCTTCCTTTTAATACGTGCGGTTGTCTCCTTTGGACGTAACCGACCTCCTTAAGTGCCCTCACCTTATGTTTGTCTTTCTCTGATTGGGACGCAAGTACAACCCCTGGTGAAATCACAACGGGCCTCTGCCTTGAAGTAATTCACGTGTAGTCCAGGTCCTGGAGAATTCGGACCTCAGAGCTAGCTTTTACTTGCATTGCGTTGAGCTATCACCGGTCTCCTAGGGTCATTATGCTTCACCTACTTATATCCTGCATTTTCACGTAGTCTTTATGCGCACTCGCACTGCAAGGCTCAAACTTTTGCCACTCCAAATTTCAGACACTATCGCTTAAAGACATTTTTCCGGTGTCTAATTGTTTTTTTCTCCTCTTCTTTTGGACAGACATGAAATGCAGCGTCTGGGCTACTTGTCGTAATCTTCCATTTCTTGGCGTTACAATGTTCGTTCTGTAACAGCCTAAATCCCTCTTCCTCCCTGATGCCTTGAAAACTCCTCTGTTTCAAGTACCTGCTCATTCTGAGTTATTTATATATCAGAAAACAAATGAGACTTCAGTTTTAAATTATTCACAGCCACTAGTAAGGTGGGGCCTCTAAGTGGCTGTTTAAGTGCGAGCACGCGTGCCGTCTAAACTGAGTAGACAGAACTGCTTGTCAACCGCTGAGTCAACCAGGATTGGTCCTGGATAAATTTATAACTTTGTATGAGTTATTTTTGAAGTTCTCAGAAATAATAAGGGTGAAATAACATCCAGATTAGTCATATTCATATTAAAAAGTCAAGTTGGCGAACGCACGTTTTCGGTAATTCTTCCTCAGGCCAATACAATTACATGAAACGAATGAAAATGTACAAAATCAACAGTGTTTATAGATGCCTCAAAGGCTATTAAGTCACTAACACTCATCATCCCCACGCCGCCCGCATGAGAAGGTCGACGGGTGTTAGTCGTCAGAGCTAGGGGAGGGGGGTAAGAGAGTCTTTGAGTAATGATCTTGGGTTGAGTACACGGAGTACCCATCATCGTGATTAGGGATTTGAGGCGGCATGGCTTCATCGCTTGGGGTTGGCGTTGGCCACGGCAGTGTAAGCGCTTTTGTCAGAGTTTTCTGACAGCATAACACCGGATTCACTAACCGTATAGCTACTGCCTCTGCCGTTGCTAGTACCCGTTGGCGTAGGCCTTTAGAGAAGCATGTTGGTGTCCGGTAGACGACCTGAAATGCTTTCTTGGCATTGACTCGGTGGTTCGTATCGATTAAATGCGCGAGAATAGAACTCGAAATCGACCGGGTCTCACCTCTGTCTAGCCAGGCGGGCATATGTTCATATTCATATTATCTTGATCATTTGCTATCAGTCAGATTTCCCACATTTGGGAGCCGTTTATGACCTTACGACGTTGACCCTGGACTCTATTTTCAACCCAGCATAGTAGTCTCTCTGCCCTCTACTCATTCTCAAGGATGATTTTTCAAAACTAAAGACACTTACATTTAAAATTTACAAGCAGTGGTTCTAGACTCACTCTGAGGACAGATTTTTCGCCATCATCAAACCGGAAGTAATATCTGCAATAGATAGAACGGCAAATTTAATTTTTGCGAGTGTCTAATTTACAGTTGGGCGGAGAAGAACAGACAGACCCCGTTTCTAAGCGCCACGATGACAATGGGATTTTAAAGACAACCCCGGTCAGATCAGTACCCAATGCACGCCAAGTGTCAGTAGCCACCGGCTATGCCATAAAGGCAGTGGAATGTGAACTATTTGCACATGACAGAAAACACAATACATAAAGAAGGAAGACGAAGTAACTGAGCTCCGGGCCTCCAAGTAATGCTGTCATACACAACAAAAGTTTGAGGTCTGCTGAGAGGCTCACAACAAGGAAACCGGGCCTTATAAGCGGAGATATGCTTGGAACAGGCGACAGCCGTTGACCATCTGTGAGGATTGTGTCGCTCGCGGACCCAAAGCAACAATATAGTAGCAGATCACTTAATTGAAATAGTACTTGTCGCACGGCAAAATATCGGCCACCTTGTCTTGCGTGGCTCCTGTTATATTAAACACATTGGATAATCCAGTACACGACCCTTGAGGGTGAGAGAGCAAGAGAGAATTACAGGAGGGTTTTCAGTAAAAGCGTTCACCAAGGCCAGAACATCTTCTGGACTTCATTTTCATTACATGTCGGAACTCATGCCAGAAACGGCGAAAATTCTACTTGATACTCAGGTGTACTACAACAGATATGACGGACGCAATGTCGAGTTGGACAGAGAGACTCCGCAGCACAGGGTGGACGGGATGGCCAACACCATCGAGAACCCGAGCAGCAGCAGTAAGATGGCATTCTCTACAAGGAGATAAGAGGATGGAGAAGAATGAACCAGTTCCAGGTGTATGTAAAAGTAAGGAAGATATAGATCGATCGAGCATTGGAACCGTTTATTTTTCTGGGCATTCCAACTCGTACAGGCTTCCATCGCCAGAGATGCAAGCAACAGGACGAGCGACTGCTATAGTGACCGGTAACTAATCAAAAACCAGTACTACAGATCTGACGGTGACCGTGCAGGGCTCTGTATGCCGGCACCAAGTTAATACATCAAGTTTTTGCGTTCACATCAGAAGCTCCGGCTTCACCCAACTCTCGGCTTGTTTCGCCCTCAGCATGAGCGCTTATCCTGACGGCTGCGAGGCTGAACGCGTGACCCATTTCGAAGGCATGATCAGCCACCTGTGATAACCCGTCGCCCAGCGCCAAAGTCAACTAATGCTCCTATATAAGCCATTCGAGTAAGCGTTCAGTCTGACATGTGTAATTACAGGGGCAGTTTAGGTACAGGATGCGAAACACCACGCCAGACTGCTTCCTGCGGTATAATCGGTCATTTAATCTCACGGCCATGCTGCGCATGGTAACTCGGGGACGGTGTGCAATTCCAGCTTCTAGTCACGTATCAGTCCACTCGGTCAGACCTAAAGCGCTCTTAATGCGTGACAGAGCATGCCATATCCTTGATGGCGTTTCCGCTATAGTTCTACAGAGATTGACAAGTAGACATGAACCTGTAAAGGCCTTTGGACGACCATTCCAAACAAACTTGTCTCATCGATTTCGGGCCTCATGTCTTTTCGTCCGGATTGCTGATGTAAGCCTGTGTTTGTTTTGGAAGTGTTCTCGTGTCGTTTTGTGCGTAGCCAATGGATGGTTGCGGTAAAAAGAAGCGCTCTGCGGCTTGTGTTACCTTCAGATAACCCATTGCCTATATTTCACGCTAAGAATCTGCCTATCGAGTAGCTATTGATCCTTTCCTTCTTTTCTCATTAAGTCAATATTTGGGTAGCCACATTGACGGCGCCAGTATACTAGCTTGCATCACCGCCGCGGTGCCTTCAAATAAGTAATGCCAGGAGACTAATTTTTCTACAAGGAGGAATGCAGTGTTTGGCAGATAGTGTGTCCGGTCTCCAATTCGAGGCAGTGGGTTATCTGAATGTAACACAAGCCGCAGAACCCCTCTTTTTACCGCAGCTATCCACTGGCTACACACAAAACGATACGAGAACACTCCCAAAACAATTACAGGCTTACATTAGCAATCCGGACGAAAAGACATTAGGCCCGAAATCGAAGAGACCAGTTTGTGTGCGGTGGTTGTCCAAAGGCCTTTACAGGTTCATGTCTACTTGTCAATCTCTGTAGAACTATAACGGAAACGCCATCAAGGATATGACATGCTCTGTCACGCATTAAGAGCGCATTAGGTCTGACCGAGTGGACTGATACGTGACAACACGTTGGAAATGCACACCGGCCCCGAGTTACCATGCGCAGCATGGCCGTTAGAATAAAGGACCAATTAAACCGCAGGAAACAGTCTGGCGTGGTTCTGCGGCTTGGTTTCAATGAAAGACCCGCTGGGCAACTTCTACGCGCATATTAACTGAATTTCTTTGCTGCAAAAATGATCGCGTCACCATGGGGAAAATTCGAGGCCGGACACACACGTAGTATCTGCCAACCATTGCATTTCTCCTAGTACAAGACCAAGTCTTCCGGGCACTGTTTATTTGATGTCACCGCGACGGAGATTGCAGTTAGCGTGCTGGCGCAGTCACTGTGTCTTCATCTATCACCTAGGCAAATTAGAGCGATGGTTATGTTGCTGTGGCCGATAACGGCTCCCAGACCCCCTCGACTACACAATGCGACAGAATGACAAATGGCAGTGCTGGTTACAAGTGGCCTATGAGGAAGGGCTAAACTTTTGCTACCATTGGACTGGCGGGCGTAGCTTTAGTTCGTTGTTCTTTGACGTTGATCAGGTATTGAAATAAATCAAGATTGTGCTTAGCGTTCCATTTGAACGTGATTTTTGCCCGTTTGTTGCTCTCGGCAGGGCACCGCGCTCGTGACCCCAAGTCTGTTTGACTAGATGTCGCTGAGTGGTTTCAAGAACGCTACCTAGGATGGACTCGGACAGCATAGCTCAGCGCATTTCCAGTAACTTTGCCCTATCCAAAGAGGGTCGAAGGAGATACTTTGGACTAGCTAGCTAGCCCTCTTGACTCTAGATTGTGAGTCGTAACAATGTTTGCTGTCAAACAGGAAACAGTTGTTTTTGCGCCCTGTTGAGGCCCAATCGCTTCGGAGTTCACGACTCTGCTGACTAGCATGGGCGCACATTATGTCACACACGGTGTGCACAGCCCAGACTGAGCTCTTCTGTTCGTTCATACCGGGGTCGACTGAACTAGTCGAACCGAGTTATCCTGGTGCGGTTAGGATATGTGTGCGCGCGTATGAATGATGAACAAATGTTTATGGCAAAGCCGTTGTCACGGTCGGCTCACAGACCGAAGTCTGCCCACTGATTCCAGTAAGCTGTCACTCCCTTCTACTATCGTAGAATAAATCCATTCCTATGGGTTGCTGTCTCAAGTGTCTCGCTGGGAGTAAGTCCAACTTGAATTAATATTCCGCCCTTCCGTTTTTGACATTCGCATTACTTTGTTATGCGTGTATATTGCTATGTTATTTTATTTGTTGCACAGAATTTGTGGTGCTACGTAGTCAACCACTGGTTTAAATAGGCTGGCTCATTGTTCTTGTGTGTTTAAGTTCCGAGAAGGCTCATCAAACTCTGGCATGGGAATTAGCGGCGTATTTTTGAGCTAATGAACTAGCAAAGTCTTTCGTACACTCTCCAATGTCTCGTCTCGAGCGCTAATTAATCGAGTGTGATTTCACGGAGGACCATTATGGAACAGGCTGAACAAAAGGGGCATTTGTCCCGTTACTTTTTGTGAACATACGTGAACAATAGAGTATCGACAAAGACAAGAGGGACCATGACGGACGTTTCTGGCTTATCAACCGTCACCAGCCAGTCATACCTAATTTTAAGTGTGGGTCACCTGGGATTCGGAGCCGGGATCTCTAATCATTGGGTCTAACGCCCTGCCAATGAGCCACGGGCTAGTTTTTCTGTCGTTTATGATCGGGAATATTAATTATCATGAGGTGGCGCTCACCAATTAAGTTTTGGGACATGCTTGTCCCGTTGTACTTTGGTTCACTGCTTAGGACGTTGGACTTCTAATCAGCAGGTTCTGGGGTCGAACCGCAGGAGTTGCAAAACCTGGAGGTGCGTGTGAGTAGCTGATGACGGTTAGTGGGTTATAAGTGGCTATCACAGTCTCGCATGTCTTTGCCGGCAATATTTTTGTCTGTGCTACTGGCCGCTGTGTAGCTGCTGGTGGGGTTCGAGATTGAGTCCTAAAGTACAAAGCGAGATCTGTGTGTCGTATAACGCGATCGAGGAGCGCCCCTCAATCTACCAGTTTACGGAGCGCGCACGTCCCATTGTGCCTTACGCTTTGACTAGAAACCTCGCAGGCAGTCGTATAACGACTAGTGGTAGTGGGTAGGATGGCACCGACAAAGACAAGTGAGACCCGAATGACCATTTTCTGCTTATTGGCCGTCATCAGTCAGTTATATCCACCCCCAAGCGTAGGTCACCTAAGATTCGAATCGGGGATCTTTGGTCCTTGAGAGCGATACTACCATCGACCTACGGGCCCAGTGTCCTGTCGGTTTGATCGGGAATATTATAAAGGATTTGTGTTCACTGACCAAGTTACGGAAGGTTCGTCCCTCCCTATCTTGGGGCTCAAACTAACGTGGTGGAGAAGCCGGATTTCGACAAACGAGTCCCTCAGAGCAGAACTCGCCAAATTTTGGTCAGCCGATAATAGACAGTTGCTCAAATCAAGCTGTATCCTGCTGCTACCAATTCCGAATATTCGCTGGATATAAGCAGTGCCATTGTGCCCGCAGCTTTTAATAATTCCGGTTCGTCGAAAAATGTCCGACAGCTCTCAGCCTACTATGCAGAACTATGTGCTTTCTTGTCGTTTGCTTTACTGACGAGCAAAAGGCCCAACCGAAACCCTGCATATCAACACATTTCTGCGTCTGTAGTATACTTTACGAGGCTCCTAAGAGCTATGACCGCGAATTCATGATATTTCAGTATATTTACAGTTCCGCGAGAAATTGACAGGTTAACCAGATCTATATTGATAAATAGGTTCCAATTTTCGCACTATTATAGAGTGATGCAACAATGGAACTAACGCCTTACGGACGCCGTTTTCGGGTTTGACATCGACATGTCGCAGGCACGCATGCGAGTAAGGTTTAAATAGTACGCTGGCGACGTGTGGTCAACGCCGCGGCATAGCGCAGACAGACCTTCACAAACCTTCGAAACGCTCGCCTCAAATCAAAGTAACAGCTAATCAAGGCCCGGAAAAGACGGCAGAAGCGTCCGAGAGATAATATAATTCAGAAATGCAAAAATGATTTACTGTACTGTGATGTGAAAAAGATTGCACCGTGTTGTATGTCTGATTCAACTGTGCAACCGGCCATAAGAAAACAAAGCTCAAAATGAAGTCACTAGTAAGCCTAAACCAAGAAAACAAATTCGTCGAAAAATTAAGATTTAGAAAGAGAAAAACACTATCACGCTGTTCTCGAGATTAACGAACGTAGCACAACCAACATATAATTGGAAAAAAATTAAGGATATGCACAATCCTGAGTGAAATCGACAACTGCCAGGTCCTCGGCCAGCCGAAAGTCCAGGATAAGAAGAGCTAGACAGGAATAGGCGGTGGAGCGCGAAAAGAAAGGCAAGCCTGATTAGTCTCCGGCAAGTGACGCATAAAGTAGACGGAGCCGGCAACAGTGAGGAGGGCGTAAGAAAGGAAAGTAAACAATTCACCAAATAAGTTTATTAATGGTTTGCAGGATTGTGTGACCACATATGAAGCTATCCAACTCGTTGCTACAGCCGCCCCACCAGCAGGCCCACGCTGGGATACAGGGAAGAGTTCGAGAGTGATCAGCATTGCCAAAGGACCCCAACCACAACAGTAGCCGAAGAGAAAGAAGATCAGGGCGACGATGGGAGAGACTGGGGTGGCCGCTGGAAACTACAAAATGAAAAAACCATAGGTTGTAGTCGAATTCAAAAATACAGAGAAATCGGTGGCACATCCATTCATTTTTAACAAGCGTAGTCGATAAACCACTGGACTGAGGACGAATTAAAGATCTGTTGGTGTCATTAGCAGTGCACAAAAGACAAAAACATGAATTTGAAGGGCTGACAGAAATTAAAAAAGGCAGAAACCCCGCTCCAATACGTTTTTTGATATAACAGCACATGTGCAAACTGCCAAACCTCAAAGTATAGCACTTTGAAACATTCTACTGGGGGCACAACTCGAAATATGTGTCTACATACGCAATTATAAACGGCAGCAGATCTGGGGTGTTCGTCCAAGTTTCTTCTTTAACGATGAAGTCTGCATACCGACGATCCAGTGACAATCATTTTGTCGCCTGTAGTTCAGTTACGGAGATTTAGTGTAACAACAATGAACTTAGATGGCGGACGATAAAGGACTTACTAAAATCTTCTTGCCATCTTTATTAAGTGGTCTAAAATATCCTTACGATCTTGTCACAGTGCGTGCAGGCTCGCCGTTCACAATGAGACTGGCATACGTCGCTCAGGGGACCGTTCGCGACAAATATGGTCGAGGACCTCCAGTTTTCGCCCGTTCTCCACACAAACAGCTTAATATTCACGACCGTAGGAGGGGACTGACCGAGCGGATGCCCGGTTTATAGGATCATTGCGGACGGCTCAATAAAACACAAGTACGGGCAAACCAAATACGAGCATTGTGAATTTAAAAAACAACTTCCTTGACATTTAAATCTCACAAATAAGTGATGATACGGTTCTGGGCTTTTTATTGTTCAATGTACGACTTTTTGATCTAACAGAACCTGAAACAACGAATACTGGGAAATCGACGTATATGGCGAATTTGCCTGAAAACCTTCCTGTGTGCTGTCAGGAATGTTCCGCCTTCTCAAACAGACATAACTGAACACCATTAGTGTCCACTTTCATATGAATGCGAGAGATGGCGTAAGGAGATCAGGAGAATATCAAAGCTCAGAATCCAAGCTTCAAAGATAACTTAAGCTCATACACTGGAACTTTTAGGCTAAGCTTAAAGAGAAAACACTGGGCAGTATTAACTCGCTGTCGGTGCTATTTCTAGTTAATTTCGCTGCCCAAGCCCTCGTTTTGGCAAGATGAAGAGACAAGGCAGCAGAAAGAAAAGAGTTTAAAAAGCCGTCAGTAAATGTCCTGTTTGCCAGACTTTAGAGATTACTTTCCGATCAGATTAATGATATAATACTGTAGGAATAAGGACGCTGAGTAAAAAAATGTCATAAGTATGACTGATTGTGAACTATATTGCGGAGAATGTTATTCAGGCAATCAGGACAAAAATAAGAACTCACTTTTTGGCCAAAGGCGAATAAGATGAGGGAGACGGACATTATAACACCTGTTGAAAGCATTAAAACGCGCCGGGGAAAGCGATCAATGAATAGACAGGCTATCAGGGAAAACACCAGTTGCGCTAGGCCAAGAGAGAAAGCACAACGCGCAGACTGGGATATAGGAGCAAACTTTTGACACAGTGGCTCGGTGTAGAAAGTTATGACATTTACACCAGTGAGTTGTTGGAAAACCATAAGGTTGATAGCCATACGCAGTCGGGATCGAAGTTCTGGAAGAACAGCTGTACAAGGAAATAGGAGGGGTACCAGACCCAGCTGGCAGTCAGCACCTTCCGAATGGTTGGTTGCAACGGAGGCCGATAGTTCATCCACAGCGGCCGAGTGCTGGAGCGAACCAGAGATAAGAATGGTATTAGGGTAAAGTCCAGTTTAAAGACAAAACTGAGTTCGTTGGCAGTATGTGATGGGGTGGCATCAATGCACATAGATGCCAAAATAGGAATGACTCCAGGAAAAGCATTCGGACGTTAAAAAAGAAGACATGTGTCTTAAAGCAAACGGGCAGTTTGAAGAAAAGGATAAATCTCAAAACTTACGTCTCCTCGAAGCCAGGAAAGATTTGTAAGCGCTAGTTTCAGGTTACCGTTCCGAAACAACCAGACTGGAGACTCTGGTAAGTAGAAACTGAGAGCGAAAAGTCCCGCAGTCGGCAAAAGCATCAGCTTGGCCGTCTCATACCATGTTGTGTACATGCCAAATGCGTAGGCTATGCAGATGCCGGCTACAATGCCGAACTGGGCGAACGATCCAAATTGACCACGCTGAGATGGTGGGGCAACTTCCACGAGAAACACAGAAGCAGTAGCGAGAAGCATGCCAGCCGCAACACCAGTCAAAATACGCCCTAAAAGTAGGAGCGCGATGAGACTGTTTGTTGGCTCGGACGGTGGGCTTAGGCCTTGTGCACTACAAATCATAAACCATCCAAGAAGGGCAGGCAGTGTAGAAAAGCAGAGTGTTGCTCGACGACCTTTGAAAGTGAGAAGCGGGCCCACAAAAAGGCTTCCAATAAGTGCACCCAAATTGATCACACTTGAAAAGAAGGCCAGAATAAAGTCCGGAAGGAGAAGTTGAGCGGACACCGATGACGAATACCCAAGAGTGACACCTTTATGAAGACAAAAAACGTGGGTTAATCTGGGGCACAGGAAAAGGCTAATCTGACGTAGCAATATAGCAAAATATAGGACTACGGACGGAGCAGTCAGGAAAGATATATGCCAGGGGTTAGGGCCAATAAAACCATGGTTCTTGTGATCGTCTTACCTTCTCTTATATATATCAATGTATATGCAGAATGGTATCACCGGCAAAGACAAGGGAGACTGCAATGGCCATTTCTGGCTTATTAGCCGTCGTCCACCAGTCATACCCAACCCCGAAGTGTGGTACACCCCCGTCTCGAACTCTCGACCTGTTAGTTAGAATCCACGCCTCTAACCACTGGGTCACGAGCCCGTTGCAGCGATGATTTACTTAAGAAAGAGCTCGCTTTCTTGTATCGGTTATTCCGACTCAACCGATGCCCGGTCAGTTTTGTGAAAAATTGTCTCAGACATCAGAGACAATCAAAAGGCGTTTGTTCTAATGAGGGACGAGAGCTGCGGAAATTCTAATCTCTACCCTACATGCAGGGCATTTCCGAAGCGATCGCCAGACAACCAAACCGGTTTGGCCTCTTCATTGCCCACAAGCCCGCGTCCTCCCTGCGCGCAACACTGTCCCGAGTGAAAGATCCTATATCCAAAGAGCAGCAAACCAATATCACCTACCGAATTCCGTGTACTAACTGCCCTTCCAATTATGTTGGTAATACAGGCCGACGACTTGGGACGCGTATAAACGAATATAAACCGGCCATCCGCCGACGTGACCTTTTGTCACTCGTGTTTGCGCACGCGCTTGAATGCGAACATCGCTTCAATTGATAAGGAGCTGAAATTTTTGCCATAGCAAACACCAAACAGGCCCGAGAATTCCTCGAAGCCTGGCACTCTAACACGACTGGCATCAATCGCCATATCGATCTGGACATTCATTACAAAGGTCTGCATACCCGGCTCACTGACTTGCGCCCACGACCTAACAGAAGCCGCCAATCCATACCGGGCCATGTATAATCGCACTATTTCGCCACCCCCTACCCCAGGCACAGCGAACCGCAACTGCAATCCCTAACACCTCTACGTTGGATCACCGACTTCTGCCCGCATGCACTCCGATGAGTCATGCATCAACAGGCACATCGGGTTAGATGCCACGTACAAGAATCTCAGAGAAAAGTGGAAGAGACGAAAGCCGATCAATACGGACTGAAACACACGACGGCAGCTTACTAGCTGAGGCACCAAATGAGTATTGATTTTGTAGCACGTTTGAAATTTTAATTGTTTTCAGCACATTTACTCTAGTCTGACGACGACACGGGAAACCGACGTCGAAAATTTACTCAATAAAGTTTTCTCCCTTTCCCAAAGATCGTCTTTGATTTCAATATATATATATATATATATGTATGTTGAAAAGAGATGGGTTCTTTGGGACAAGAGGGTTTATTGCGTAAATTTTCGACGCTGGTTCCCCAGCTCGTCTTCAGACGCTTGCGTCCCTCACCTATAAATACTGTGAAGCGCGAAACCACACTCACCTCCGACGATGGAAGCTTGTTTGATTTTGAAACGTCAGGACAGTAAAACTATGGCTTCCGAGATCGCCTTTTCTTCTCATTTATGTCCGGGGACACGCATCTTCGCTTCTATTATCAATATACATGCTGAGTCGGCGATATACTGATGTGCTACGCCCGTCAGTGGATAGTAAAAAGGGCCGGGACAGTTAAACAATCAGGTAGAGCGCATGACATAATGCTACATACGTAGCGAGACCGACCGAATTCGAGGTAAGCAACAATTATTGTCCCCCTCAAATTCGAGGGACTTATAAACCGTGAACTCGGATAGCGCCTAATCGCCCAGGGCTAGACATTTGCTAACCCGTTTGACTTGCGAGCTAGTGCAGGGCTAGTAACCTGACTGGCTTAGTGCTTGATCTGTGCGAGGAAAGGAACTTTTCTGCTACACACCCTCCTTGATGTTCGCCCAAGTGCATTTCGCACGTCAGGCCTGGGGGTCCCTTTGCACGAACGCGCGCATACAGGGTGCACGCATGCACTTTGTCCGGAATTTAGGCCGCCGTCTGGCGGCTTAAATCGCCTCGGTCTACAACGCCCTCAACTCGCCCGATAAGGCGCGTCAACCTACTTTACCCTTGTGGAAAGTGTCCGCTGGGATTTCTGAAAAATCCAGTCAATTGCAACACTAGCCCGCAATGGGCGACCGAGCCAGCCCTGGGCGGTTTTCAGACACGCTAGTGCCGTTAACGGCCGTTAACGGCACTAGCGTGTCTGAAAACCGCATGATAAATAAGAAGAGATAAGAGATTGCGAAAACAATGCAGCAACCCGTTTTTCGCGTTCAATCAAAACCATTTCTAGCGGCGTTGTTTCGAGTAATGATGTCTATGGCAAGCAGACGAAACAAGCCTAAATTTTAAGTCAGAAGCCCGCAAGTTCCATCGATCAATTAAATTACTCACCACCAGTAACAGACGCGAGCAAAATTGACATAACCGTGAAATACAGCCGGGCTGACACTAATTTCCGTCTGACAGAAGCAGCGATTCGTTCCTGGCATGTTAGCGTAAATCGCTCCAGTTTGTGGCCCATCATTTTTTTCCCCTGTTCAACGAAATTCACATAGTTGACCGCCAGAAAGTCAAGCCTCTGAACTAGCAAAGACGTGCACCAAGGTGACCCACAAACCGTTTCAGTATATTGCTGCTTTAACAGCACATTATAACTTTGGAGGCAATTTCGTATCTACAAGAATTCACAGTACTATGGTTGGTTGAATCACTAAATGCCGGACTACAATCCAACAGGTTCACAATGCGGAATGTTTGAACAATATCCCTGTGCGTTTGCCTATGAATTTGGTGATGGTGTTTTCAATTTAGGATGCTTCCCATGAAGTCTTAACGTGCATGAATATTTCGGTAGTTTATTATCCATTGTTTGGAATCCTTTGGAACCGTTTTCCTCTTGGTCTGCCCATGGTCTTCAGGCATGTGTGACGCACTCCAAATACGACGTCACAGATATTGCGAAAACTTTGAGGGAGATGTTTTCAGCGCGCGTTTCGAATTTGGTTTGAAATTTTCTGCCTCGGGAGATTTCACTTTTATCGAGATTTCTTTCTACTGGACGTCCTCAAGGCCTGTGGGTATTAAGAATCCGATTCGTCTTTGCGACCGATTCATCTTTGGAAACCTGACTTGCGCCAGTGCCGTCAAAACAAATGATGCATCATGTATTAAGCATGATATTAATGACTGCATTGTTGGACGTTCTGCTGTCAGACCAATGCCTGTAAAACGAGCAAAAAGTCTAGGGACGTTGGGGGATGTCACATAAGACGATGAAAGCTGTACCACACTTTTTGGACGTATCCATAAATTTTCGAAAATGGAGGGGAAGTTAAAAGGTCTAAAAATGGAGGCAGAAAATTTATGGAAGCTTACTCACCACTTTCGTGAAGATAAGAAGTCGACGAATTTGGCAATCCAGAATCCGAAAAAAAAAATATGCAACCACGGCTTTTTTAGCCATATCAAACGCCGAAACTGACGACGGTTCATCCAGGGAGCTAGAAGCAGTTGAATTGAAGTCTCTTAGGCGAGAAAAAGACCAGCCAAAGCGAACTCAGAGAACAAAGAATCTTCCCAGAAAAACAACGCGCACCTCTGTACTGTCCAAAAAAACGAAGGCCGCTTGTGTACACGCAGACCAGCGGATGTGGACGACAAGGAGGCCTACGAAGGATCGCCGGAGGCTCCTAACAAGTAAATTGGAGAAATGATGCGCGACAACAACGAGCGCTAGATTCAGTTGCAAGCAAAATGTAGTTATAAAAGGAGTACCCGAATCAACGGCGACGATTCCAAAGGTGAGAGTTATGCATGACTTAGACCTTCTTCAAATGTATGCGAAAGATTTGTTAACAGACGATGAGTCGCTTAAGGTTCTCAAAGCATTCTGAATAGGGAAGACTCAGTCAGCACCCGGTTCTACTTCCCGGCCTCGACCCCTAAAATTCATTTTTGAAGCACAGACACAGCTCCTGTTACAGAGAAAATCATCTCTGCGGGGTTATCATCCGGAATTTTTTTCAGCCGGATTACGAGCCAAAAGAGCGAATGAAAATGAGAGAGCTGATGACGGAGCTGAAAAAGCGGAGAAGCAGCGGCGAAATACACCAACAAATCAAGTACGGACAAATAATTCAGTTCAAAAGGACATTTCTCTGGCCGAAGGCCGTCATTCTGACAGCCTAACCGATGCAAAGGTGCCAACTCTTGAGGCTTCTCGCCCCAGTGACCGATGTCTATAAACCTATTGCACTAACTGTCAGAGTCTCCTCAACAAGTTACATAAACTCAGATTACTGGAAATGAACAGAAGCCTCATATAATCGTCCTAACAGAGACATGGTTGACTGAGGAAATGAGTAGTAGCGAAGTCAGTATTGAAGGCTGCCAACCGGTCAGTTGTGACAGATTTCAGCGTAGTGGAGGAGGCACAGCGATTTAGATATCAAATGAAATTCCGTGCTCTCAGCGAGAAATATCCGATGGGGCGCCGCGAAATTTTGAAATAACTTCATGCAAGATATGTATCAAACAAGTACCGACACTAAACCTGTTTGTTGTCTATCGACCTCCTAGTTCGAATGAAGTCGCCGATATGGAATTACTTAGGGAAATGGAGTTGTTATGTAAGCAGGAGAACTTACTACTTCTGGGTGCCTTTAACGCTCTAGGGACAGCCTGGAATATTCCCCTAACAAACACCCCGACCACGTCATTTTACCACGAACTACTTCAAATCTCCCTAAATGAATATATCATTTAACAGATAAAATTCGGAGCAAGAATGATGGAAGGACAACAATCTAATTGTTTAGATCTCGTTATCAGTTGAGAAGAAGGACTAATAAGGGAAGTGAATTCACAACCTCCACTCGGTTTAAGCGATCATATTGCTTTTGCCTGTATGTGCTCTCTCCTATCGAACTTACAACCAAAAATCAAAAGGCACAGAAATATTTGGAAGTGTGAGCTTAACGCAATGAGACGCACCATTTGCAGAAAACCTGGTTGGTCAACACAGAAGATTCAGAGAAATTCTGGCAACGCCGTGGGTCAATCCGACGACAACAAGACCATGAGGAGGAAACAGTTAATCTGGAAAAAGTATTTGAAACTTCGAGCTCCAAGGTCATTCGCCAAATATAAGGATCAGCGCAATATATGCCGAAAACAAATACGGGTTGCTAGGACTTCTTTCCAACGCCGACTAATAGCAGATTCCATTACATGTCCCAAGAAGTTTGACGGGTACATCCGCAGTAGTAGGAAACATAGGGACGAAATTGCCTGTCTAAAGGATAGTCTTGGAAACTTATAAGTCGAAGGACCACAGAAAGTGCGATTACTCTCTTAGTTTTTTAAATCAGTTTTTACGGAGGAGTCTTCAGAAGAAAATCAGCAGTTTGAAATGGACCGAGACAGCCAGGAGGTTCAAATGCGCCAAGATATTGCCGTCATTGAAACCGTCGCTTTTTCCGTCGACGAAGTAAGACGCATCCTCAGTCAAATAAACCTGATAAGTCTCCCGGACCCGACAGAATTCACGGACTAATACTTAAGGAGCTATCAATGGAGCTGTCAAAGCCCCTTTCGAATCTCTTTGAACTGTCAATGAGAACAGAAAGGCTGCCCTCACAGTGACAGACAGCTAACCTCGTTCCACTGCATAAGGTAGGTAGCAGGATGAGAGCAAGCAACATTAGGCTTATTAGCTTAAATCGCCTCCCTTGCAAAACGGTGGAAATATAGGTAAGAGCGCTATAGAGCAGTCTTGTGAAGAAAATTACATCTTGCAGGATTTTCAACATGGCTTCCGGAGAAGACGTCCCTGCCTCTCAAATCTACTAGCTTGTCTGGAGATCTGGACCAGGGCTCTAGAAGAGGGTTTTGAGGTCGAAGTCGTGTACATCGATTTCCGCAAAGCTTTTGACACTGTCCCGCACCAACGTCTTCTTCACAAATTGAGCGCCATCGGCATCCGGGGAGATCTTCTGAACTGGATTAGGGCGTTTCTGGTTGGTCGGAAACAACGTGTCTCTTTTGGAGATGATATGTCCGAGTGGGTGAACGTGACCAGTGGTGTGCCACAAGGCTCAGTTCTGGGACCAGTGCTCTTCATCCTTAACGTTAACGACAGCCTTCAGGAACTCGACTGCGGCAAAATAATGTTTGCAGACGATGTTAAGCTCTGGCAAGTCATTAAGAGACCGAATGATCAGAGATCCCTTCAAGATAATCTGCACCGACTGCAAGCGTGGTCGGAGAAATGGCTTCTAGATTTCAATCTGGAGAAGTGTACCGTCCTTCATCTGCGTCCAACAAACTCTCATTCAAATGAGAGCCTGAGGACAAATCACCTGAAAGATATAAGGCTCCCCGCAGAATCTTCACAGAAGGATCTCGGGGTTTGGATACAGAACAACCTGAAACCAACGCTGCAGTGCCACAAGGCTGCAAAAAACGCCATCGGAGTGCTGCATGCAATCAAAAGTGCTTTCGTGAATTTTGACCAAGACCTTTTTGGGAGAGTTTACGGCACTTTTGTTCGGCCCCACTTAGAATATGGCTTACAAGCATGGCGCCATGGTTAATGAGGGACCAAGCATGCCTCAAGCGGGTACAACGGCGTGCAGCAAAGGGGGTAAACGGTCATGAAAGCCAATCCTACACGGACAGACTGAATTGCCTTAATTTATTCCCTCTGTGTTACAGGCAGCAAAGAGGTGATCTTATCCTCGTCTACAAGATAATGCATGGTCTTGAGTATGCACTTAGCTTTGAGGACATGTTTTAGTGGAACCTTTCATCCCATCTTCTTGGTAACTCCATGATGTGTTTACTTAGACGACCGATTCCGTCGGCCGCACCTATAAGTTGCAACATATCATAAACTCTTGTGATGTCAAACCCGTCTGGAAACCTCGTCGACGCATAGCGACCCCATACCGCGTAGAGGATGGTAAAATTCTGGACGAGCTTCTAAAAGCACAGATTACTCAACCCTTTTCCTCCAGGTGGGCTCCACCCACCCAGGAAAGGCTGTTCCTTGCGACTGTGTATTGACTATCGCCGCGTGAACGCCGTCACCAGCTGTGAGTCGCCTCCCCTACCTCAACTAGGCGATACCCTTGACACGCTGGGATGCCTGGCATGGTTCTCCACTTTATATTTTAAGTCAGTATATTGGCAAGTCAAAATACACCCGGAAGCGTTCACTGTGCCGTAAGGTCTGTATGAATTCCAGACACTTTTATTCGGGCTTTCTTATGTCGCTGCAATCTTTCAGCGGCTGCTGTATCAGGTGTTCCGGCACCTCATTCAAGTCAAATGCTTTGTCTGTCAGGACGACATTGTCGTATTTGGACAGACAATTGACCAAGACAACCGTAATCTACAGGAGGTTTTAAAAGCGCTCCGCGATGCCGGATTGATGTCAATCCCCCCCCCATAAATTCGTCTTCCTACGCTCATATTTAACAATGTTGGGTCACAAAATCTTATCCGGCCGTATAGCTACCGTCAATGATAGGCTAAAGCAAATTCGCACATGGCTTACCTCGATAAACCAGCCGCAACTCCATAGATTCCTTCAACTAGCTTCTTATTACAGACAGTTTATTCGGAACTTTGCCCATACAAGCCGGTCCACTTCATGAACTCAGAAAAAAACAGCAAATGCACTTACAGAAAAAACCGACGATATTTAACAGTACGTGACAGAGGAAGAAATAAAAAGACTTCACGGTGACTGTTACGCCGTGGATGGGTTTGATGTCTTAAAGATGCGAGTGGGTTAAATGTGTGATTATATAAGAGTTTAAATAGCAAAAATAGTCCCTTTCGTAATCTACGGAACCATAAAGGATCAAAGCCCTAAGCCGGAAACGTTCTTGGTAAGACAAATGTCTGTCTTCCGGGGTTAAAATTCTCTTGGTAAAAAAAGTGTTGAACGGATTCTATTTTCTTCCGCTCAGTACCACGCATGAGGCTAAATAAAAACGAATAGTATTCCAGACCAGGTCTAACATACATGTTGTAAAGGCGCATTCAAATTTTCCTAGTTTTAAAGTTTCGGAGGATAAACCAGGTCGTTCTACGTGCTTTGGAAACTATCAAGGCACAGTGCTACGAGAGATTGAGCCTCTTGGAGTATGATACGCCCAGATCTTTAATAACCCCAGGCAAATTTATGGCGTGACCGACAATACTTAGTTGAGGTTGGCGGTCGTCGCCAACCACCAGGACTGAGCACTTATGCCAAGAAAGAGAAAGGCGCCATGCGCGACACCACTGGGCGAAAGCCTGTAGATCGCTCTTTAGGAGCTCAAGCACGATGTCATAATCTGCCGGCTTATATCGATATGCAACTTTGAGATCTTCGGCATACATGAAAGGCTTACCATTCTGAAATAAATCGGGTACATCATTAACGAAAAGGCAAAATAAAAGCAGGCCGAGTACACTACCCAGAATGATTCCACTCCTCACACGTGTGGGCTTGGAGATAGTATTGTAAATCTTAACGCGTTGTGTACGAACTCCCAGGTATGCAGATATTAAGTCAGTTTATTAAGGGAATGAGGCTTTCGCCCTTGAGCTCCCTATTCATGTTCAGTTCAGTTCAGTTCAATTTATTGAGGGAAATAGGCGTAAGCCTTTGAGTACCCTATTTGCAACGTAAAAAATATGTGGTGTACAGATAGATGCTCTGGGCTGAAATAGTTCGAACACGCCCATAATGGTGGGACAAAATGAGAAGGAGTTACAGGGGGTGAGCTCGACTTCTCATCGCTCGTGGTCATTTCAGAACATAAATATGTCCATATTCTTCTTAAAACTTTGTATAGATGGTGACATCACAACATCTGCGGGAAGCTCATTCCACGGTTTGACCACCCGAACCGAGAAGGAGAACTTCCGCACATCCAGCCGTGCCTGCTGAGTGCGCAGTTTTAACGGGTGACCTCGGAGGTTTGTCGTGGTAGCAAATTCAAAAAAGTCCTCGAAGGCCAGACTGCAATCCAACCCCTTTACAATGCGGAAGGCTTGCAAGAGATCTCCGCGAAGTTGCCTGTAACTCAAAGGAAAGAGGTTCAGATTTACTAGGCGGGTCGCATAAGGAAAGGAGCTTTGACCCCTAACCATCTTTGTGGCTCTCCTCTGGACTCTTTCGAGGCAGTTTTGATCCACAACACCCCACGGCCTCCAAGCTTGTATGCCGTACTCTAAATGCGGCCGGACGAATGTTCTGAATGTCTTAGAGAAAGCTTCTTCGTCAAAGTCCATAAACGCACGCTTGATGGCGTACAGTACGGACATTGCAGTTTTGCCACTCTCGAACAGTGGGCGGATGGTTTTAGGGAACTCGTCGTAATCACACCGAGGTCCCTTTGGGCTTTGACCTCTTGTAGTGCTGCACCGCCCAGAAAGTAGCCTCTTGTGCTGGCGGATGTGGCTGTGTTGCCTAGGCGAAGTATGCTACATTTGGCAACGTTGAACCGCAGGAGCCAACGGTTTGACCACTCCTCCAACCGATTCAGGTTCATCTGCAGTCTGTCTTCATCGGCAGGACCACGAATTACACTCCATATCTTCATGTCGTCCGCAAACATTGCTACTTCAAAGTCCAAATCTCTTGCGGCATCGTCCACGTAGATAAGGAAGAAAATGGGTCCCAGAACTGAACCCTGGGGGACACCACTTTCGACCATAGCCGGATCTGATTTTCCCCGACCGACGCACACAACCTGATGTCGACCCACAAGGAAGTTTACGATCCATTTAAGGAAGTTGCCACCGATCCCTGTTTTTTCAGCTTATGTAAGAGTTTTTGGTGTGCCACAGTTTCGAAAGCCTTCTGGAAGTCGATGAAGGCTATGTGGACCGCGTGCCTGTCGTCGAGAGCTCGGGTCCAGCTCTGAAGAGATTGCAGCAGGTTTGTCGTGCAGGATCTTCCTGCTCGGAACCCATGTTGGCATTTCGATAGCAGGCCGTGAACTTCCAGGAATTGCATCAGTTCACACTTTATGATCCTTTCCATAACTTTGCAGAGAATGCATGTCAAACTTATGGGCCGGTAATTTGTCGTCGCTGCCCTGTTACCTCCTTTGTGTAGCGGAGTAATATGCGCCAGCTTCCAATCGATAGGAAGTGTTCCAGTGTCAAATGACGTTTGAAAGAGCATCGACAAAGGCACAGAGAGCTCACGGGCAAGTTCCTTCAGAAGCTTGGATGGAATCTCGTCTGGTCCTGGCGACTTCGATTCGTTCAATGCCTCTAATTCTCTTCGGACAATGCCTTCTGAGAAGAGTATATCACTGACGCTTGGAGTCGGCAGTTCTTCTGTGGAGGGAGGAAGGAACCTTGCCTCGTTTATGTAGACTGATTGGAAAAACCGTGAAAAATACGCAGCTTTATCCCTACTATCAGCGATCTCAACGCCATCAGTAGTCTTCATCAAGGGGATTTGATGCCTGTTCCTTGTAGTTCGTCGGAGGTAGCTGTAGAGCAATTTTGGGTTCTGCGTTGCTTTTCGTAGCAAGTTCTTCTCGAATTCCCGCCGCGTCTGAATTATCAGCTTCCTCAGTTTGTTCCTCTGTGTCTTGTAGGTGTTGAAGCATTCAGCTTGTCTAGTGACGCAGTATTTTCTCCACAATTTGTGCTTCCTATTGATTTCCTTCTTGAGGTTGCTATTTAGCCACCCAGGGCGTTTGTTCAGTCTTACACTAGTCAGTGGGCAGTGGCTGTTGATGAGCTGCAGAAGGACATTCTTGAACAGCTCCCAGTCATCGTTGGCACTTCCCGTAAACAAAGAGCCCCAGTCAAGACCGGATAAGTCTGCCCTCATCTGATTGAAATCGCCCCGCCAAACATTACGCCTTTTGTGGCCTGGAGTGTGTGACATGGAGAATAACGAATAATCCCACATAAGCACTACGTGGTCACTTCGGCCAAGGGGCGGCATGGAGGCGATCTCGTCTATGCTGTCTGGTGTTTTCGTAAAGACCAGATCCAGGCAGTTTGCCCTTTGTCCTTCACGTGTTCTCGTTGGGAACATTACATGTTGTGTGAGGCACGCATTTAATGTCTTGCTCAACAGGCGGTAATCGAATGCGGATTTTGGACCTGACGCTTGGAGGGTATTCCAGTTTGTCCCTGGTGCGTTGAAGTCGCCCATGATCATGATGTTAGGTCGACTGGAAAATTTCTCCAACTGCTCCAATAGTTGAGTGTCGGCGATTCGGTCTGTCCTAGGTGGTCGGTAGACAGTGAGGACATCGAGACACGGGGAACCGGTAGCCTTGATGGTCAACCAAACAGCTTCCGTACTGCACACAAACTTGGTGGTTTTATCCGACACTGCCAGACCGTCATTCACATACACAACGATACCACCACCCTGACGATGTTCCCTGTCCCTCCGATAAATTTGGTATCCAGGCGAGGCTACTTCGTTATCGCTAATATTCTCGGACAGCCAGGTCTCAGTTACTGCTAAAACATCTGGAGACAGCTCAACAAGGCAAAGTTTTAGTTCGTCTAGTTTCGATATGATGCTTTGGGCATTCGTGTACAAGCACCTCAGGTTAGCACCAGCCGAATTTTCCGTTGCATTTGTTACTGCTGTGAGCATTACTCCGTTATCGCGGGCGTCGTGTTCTCTAGGCTCTTCCGTTACCTGATTGGTTCCATTTACATGCCTTGTTTCAGTCAGATCACTGGACGATACGGGCTCACTTGTGTTAGCGCCTTGATCAGGTGGTTCAACGAAAATGTCTGTTTTAGTTGAGTAGCTGTCGTCGTTCGTAGTATTACAGGCTGGTTCCACTGAAACGGCATATATTTCCGAACTACCTTCCCCTTTAAGATAGCCAGATTGTGTTCGCCATCCTTCAGTCTTGATTTTAACTCCAAGACAAGTTCCCGGCGTTTCAACCGTTCCGCTGGTGAATAGTCCGGTTGAAAAAAAACCTGCTTGTGTGTGTTTCTGAGATCGGTTTTTTTAGAGAGGATAAACTTGATTTGCTCTTTGTTCTCCAGCATAATTTTGAGAGGGCGAGGTGGTTGTGCTACTTTCCTGTCTTCACTCCTTTTTCCTATCCGGAATGCTTTCAGAACCTTTATTTCCATGTCTGCCGGCAGTAAATGATTTAGAAGACCATGAAAGGAAGCAAGGTCCTCTGAGACACGGTCTTCAGGTCTGACTGCATTCGATTCTGACAAACCCTGAATAACCAGACACTGCTGGTGAGCATGGTCCTCCTTACTCAGGCTTTCCGGTGAATGCGCTGCATGTGGGCGAGGACGATTTACGGAGTCATCGCTTGGACGCACACTTTTACTGTCTACCGACTGTCTTGAGCAACCCATCAGGGCTGGCTGGGACTTCAGAATCCTGTCATGGCGTTTCCCTCTCCCCTCTACCCACTGGTTCATGTCTTCGCATTCAGCTACGTGCTCTGTCGTGCGCTCGGGTGGTTGCCAGAACAAGAGGGCAACAGTAGACTGGATGACCCAGGTATATCGTCTCCAGGCAGAACAGAAATCCCATCACTTACAGCAAGAGGCTTAGGTGAGATGGCTTCCGCGACAGGTAATTTTTTTGCGACATCGCTTAAGACATCGTGCGTGGGAATCGAGTCTCCCTTTATCGGCGGCTTCTTTTTCATTGCCCTGCTGTTGCCGGCGTCTGCGGTTTTGGCTGTTGAGTTACTACTCGTGTTTGAAGGTTC